GACTAGAGCCTGCTTGATTTTATTAAAAGCCTGATCACATTCTTTTTCCCATATAATGGGTTCAGTGTCTGGCCCCTTAGTAGCTTCATACAGAGGTTTGGCGATTAGCTCAAAGTTGGGGATCCAAATCCTACAGAATCCTGCCATTCCTAAAAAGGAGCGAAGCTGCTGTTTAGTAGCAGGTGGAGTTAATTCAGTAATCGCTTTAATTCTCTCCTGTGATAATTGCCTATATCCAGGAGTCAAAATATACCCTAAGTAATTTACTTTTTTGTTTGGTAATCTGAGCCTTTTTTCTTTGATACCCGATATCCTCTTTCAGCTAGGAAATTCAGAGTCTGGATGGTATTTTGATCAGAAGCCTCCTTGGAGGGGCTGCAGATTGGTATGTCATCTACATATTGTAAAATGGCCCCTCCTTGTAGCTGTAAATCTTTAAGATCCTTTTCTAATACCCTGGCAAAGAGATGGGGACTGTCCCTAAACCCTTGTGGCAATACAGTCCAAGTATATTGCTGATGTATCATCGTCTTTGGATCAGTCGACTCAAAAGCAAATAAATACTGAGAGTCAGGATGCAAAGGGATGCAGAAGAAGGCATCTTTTAGATCTAATACTGAATACCACTGAGCATCATCTGGTATCTGCGAGAGCAAGGTGTAAGGGTTAGCTACTTTGGATGTAAAGGGACTACTGCTTCATTGACTAACCTTAGGTCTTGGACTAGCCTGTATTCTCCTGTAGGTTTCATCACTGGTAAGATGGGAGTGTTGCAAGGAGACTGACAAGGGACTATGAGCCCATGTTGTATAAATTTAGTTATGATGGGCTGTAACCCCTCCAAAGCTTCTTGTTTAATAGGATACTGCTTCCTGTGAGGGTAATCTGACCTGGGTTTTAACTGGATTTTAACCGGTAATGCAGTCTTTGCTCTTCCAGGAATCCCTGACTCCCAAACTAGTGGGTTTACTGCATCCAGAACTGAACTTGGGATTTCTTCCTGATTTCGAACACTGCTGATTATCATCACCTTACTTAACTCAAATGGCACTTCAGGGAACAACAAGATGGTTCCCATCTGAGCTAAAAGGTCCCGGCCTAACAGAGGAATAGGGCACTGAGGAACAATTAAAAAGGAGTGTTTGAATATTCGACTCTCAAATTGGCAAGTGATAGGGAATGTATAAAAATATGCCTTAGGATTTCCTTCGACCCCCATTACCTTCGCTGATTTGGAGGAAAGAGGTCCAGAGTAAGAGTTAAGGACAGAGTAAGTGGCCCCTGTAACAACAAGAAAGTCGATTTTCTTACCTGCCACATCCAGAGTTACCCAGGGCTCCTCGGTAGGGATGGGAATATGAGTATTCCCTGGGGCCAACCTGTTCCCCGGGTACCTTCAGTCCTCAAGAGTAGCCATGGCCTTGGGAGATGACCCCTTTCCACTATGGGAACGGCGGCAGTCTACCTTCCAGTGCCAGGGATCAGAACTGAAGTTCTTGCATAGAGGACAGGGCCTCGGAGGTGGCTGAGTGCAGTTCTTTGACCAGTGTCCAGGGCGCTTGCACTTATAACAGGTCTGATCCTTTTGCCCCCTGATTCTTTTGAGGCCTCCCTGAGCTCCCCTGATGGGGCTGGTTTCCGCCAATGGCACTACTAAAGGCTAGTGCAAGGAGCTCTGCTTGCTTCTCCCTTTCCTTCTTTCCCTGTTTTCTTTCCTCCAAATCCCTATTGTTAAAGACTGAAAAGGCCGTATCCATGAGCTGATCTAAGGGGGTCTGCAGGCCCATTTGTAATTTCTGAAGCTTCCTGCGAATATCAGGGGCAGATTGAATTATAAAATGCTGTCCTATCAAGATTCGACCCTCCGGGGATGAAGGGTCCAAGTTTGTATATTTTTTGGAAGGCTTCTACTAGTCTGTTTCTGAAGAGAGCTGGGTTCTCTTCCTTGCCCTGAAAGATTTCCCGAACCTTTTCATAATTCACAGGTTTCTTGATGCAGTTTCTCATTCCTGCCAGTAAGCAATCTATCATTGCATCCCTACTCCAGATTCCTGCCTGAGTATTGTATCCCCAGTCAGGTTCCTGGTCCGGGACAGCTTGGGCAGCTGGCTGGTTAGTGCCAGGGTTCTGGGTATGCAGCTGATCTGCATACTTACGGGCCTCCTCCCAGATCCGCTGTTTCTCGTCTGGGGAACAGCAGGTGGTCAGAATTATGTACAAATCCCTCCACGACATACTAAATGCTAGAGTAAGAGTCTGGAAATTACTAGTGAAACGTGAAGGGTCCTCTGAAAAACTCCCCTAGCCTGTCTTTACATTGTTGTAAATCAGTTATAGAGAATGGCACTTGTACCCTTATAGCACCTTCAGGGCCTGCTACCTCCCTCAAGGGTAGGAGTGCAGGAGTGGTAGGGAGATAAGAAGCGCCACTTCTAGTATGTCCTGCAGGGCTGGGTTTTTCCTCAGCTGGTGGCTTTAGGTTATCCATAGAATAAGGTGGTGGAGAGGTCGCTCCCTCTAAGGTAGGGGCAGAGACTTCAGAACTCTGGGGTTCCCTTAATCTCCCTTGAGAGACAGGTGGGGAGCTAAGGAGGATATCTTCTAATTGATCAACACTTGGGCCTGTAGGTTTTGTCAGGGTGGGGCTGGAGCAAAACGAGGGATCTCGGTACAGAGCCATAAACGCCTGCACGTAAGGAACTTCAGACCATTTGCCTTCCCTCTGGCAGAATAGATCTAGCTGTAGGATAGTATTATAATTTGTGCTCCCATTCTCAGGCCATAATTCTCCATCCCCTAATTTATACTGGGGCCAAACAGTGTTACAAAAGAAAACTAATCTCTTCTTTTTTAATTTTTTTTGGGGTCAAATTTATCCCAGTTGCTAAGAATGCAACCCAATGGTGATTTGGAAGGGATGGAAGATGTAGTTCCCATCTCGACTGCGGTGATCCTAAGAGAGAAGGAAAAGAAACACAAAGATACTCCTTTGCAGACTAGAGGCGTCCCTCTCTTTGCTGCCCTTAGGAGATTCCTAGTGGGCCATGGGCGTCCCCTGGGATCCCACCGAACTACCAGACGTCTCTGGCGAAAGAGATTCTAGTGAGAAAGATAATCCCTTGCAACCGAGAGGCGTCCCCCTTTTCTTGCCTCAGGAGCTTCCTAGTGGGCCACAGGGCGTCCCCTGGGATCCCACTGAACTACCAGACATCTCTGGCGAAAGAGATTCTAGTGAGTGTCGGCCGACAGAAATCTAAAAGACTTGAGAGAATCACCACAGTCTACTTTTGTCTCTAACTATTGGTAAGGAACCAGTCCTGCATTCTTGAGCAATTGCCTATAAGCCTGAAAATCCCAGACTCTACCCTTGTGGCCCTAGTACATTTCCATTTCTGTATTCTTCATCTACGGGGACCCTCATTTTCCTGTAAGCTTTAAGATCTGGGGCAAAGGAAGTGTCTTACTAGAAAAATAATTTCTGGCCCTGTAAACCATTAAGAGGAGCACCAAGATGATCTTATTATAAAATGACTCTTTTCCAAATCACAAAGAAGACCCTTAAATATTCTATGTGATTTTCCAGAGCTTTAAGAAATTGTACCTGCGTCTGAAATCTCCCAGAAGGGACCTCAAGCGATGTCTAAAACACCACCCTTCATACTGGAGGCGGATCTCGTAGAGGGACAATGAACTGAGAGGGGAAATTAAAATACCCTTATAGAAACAAGTAAACCACCTTAGAATCCCAAATTCAATTAATTAGGTAAGAGTGGCTCTATGCAGCCATTCTAGTAACCAGCGACCAGCAGGCCCTGTTGTGCAGTTCTGAGCTATGTTGCTGCTTACAATGATAGTATACACGTGGCAAAGATGGGAGTGGCTCATTCCTGCAACTGTACTTAGCGCTAGCCTAACAATGACCCCAAGGTAGATATCTTAGTACAAAGACAGCAGGAACCCTTCATACATAAAAAGGCAAGTGGGGTGTGAGTGAAGGTATAAAGACCAGAAGTCAGTTGGGGAGGAAAAGCATAAAAGACTGTCCGTGGGCCTGATGAAAAGACTGCAAAAGGAAGTCATAGCGCAGGTGAGGTGGTGACTGATATCCCGCATGGAAGGTCCGACTATGCCTACTGGGGGAGTGGCCGCGGGGTGGGGCAGTGTTTTGTGCTTTCCACAGTGTGCCTGACTGTTGTGCGGACATTTTCTTCTACCTGGCGGGGACTAAGGCTAACCCCGTTCCGCATCCAAGTTATCCTATCACAGGAGTCTTCAAGCGGCGGGCGCCCTTGTGGCTTTTAACTGCCCGACCTGTGCTCGCAAATTAGTGGCCAACCTTCCATCACGGAACATCAGAGTCACCGAAACAGAATAGGTGATAACGGAAAAGGGCATCCCGGGTGTCAGAGCAGCAAAGGGGGCTTACCACTCCGGTGTCTTCTCCTAGGCTGGCTCGCCAAAAACTGTCACAGGTGTGCACAGGTAACCAGGTTCTTAGTGATCGAGGACAAAGAATTGAACCGAACACACAAAGTTTATACCATAAAGAAAGAGGGGAGGTTTATTAAGTGATAGTACACTTCACAGGACACGGGAGTGGGCCAGCTCTGAGCAGAAAAAAGGGGCACGTGGGCTGGGGGATTCTATTCTTATAGGGGCAGAAGCCCCCTTGCTAGTCTTTGGCGGGCTTTTCCTGCGCAGGTACAAGGAGTTGGATTTCAAAGCTACTGCGCATGCGTGGTTTCCCATGACTTTCTTGATTGGCTACTGGAGAAGGGAGTCCCACAATGTTATTTCATTATAATGATATTATAATGAATCAGGGGTAGTGCGCAGGCGCATTCTATGATTCAGAGTTATCCCAGAAAACAGGAACAACCCATCTTAGGGGGTCTTTGTCATGTATAGATGTTTTCTACCTCAGCCCTGCAGGGCCTCTGGAGCTTCCTTCCTGACTATCTCCTGCCTCAGATCCAGATTTGAATTCTGTGGGTTAGGGCATGGCCTCCAGACAGCCCGCTTTGGGGAGATGGAAGGGTAAGACCACCCTCACCTCTTAACTTCAGAGAGGGTGTGAGATGCACAGAGGGAACGGAATGGGTGCTGTGGATCTTGTTTCTGCCTGGGGACTACAGGGGAGGGCCAGAGGCCAAGAGCAAGCTGGATGCACCTGGGGCTGAAGGCTGAGGGCATCTTCATCAGGGTCCTCCTACTCTTTCTAAGGGGCTATAGCTGGGCAGAGACTCAGGGCTGCTTTTCCCCTCTTGAAGGAGCCTGAGCTGGTCCTGCTGCCACCACTTCCCCTGGATTGAGAGAGAGAAACAGAGGCTGAGAGTCGGAGAAAGAGGCCAGAGAAGCAGAGAAAAGGAGAGAGAGAGAAAGACAGAGCTGGAGACTGACTCAGGAGATGAGCAAGTCCCTGGCAGAGACAGGCAGTTGAGGTGGGAGGGGGGTGGCCCAGGCAACCAAAGTCAGGACCACACATTTCAGTGTGAAGATGGGGACTGGGGGACCTTTATTATGGTTCGTTTTCACTGACAACAAGGGAGGCCCTTTTGCAATATAGGAAAAGAAGAAGTCAGATGGAGGAAGGAAGTGCTTGTCACTCTGGGGCAGGGGTGTTTGAAGAAGGCTCCCACCCTCCCTCAGCCCTCTGAAGGAGCCTGATCCCGCCCCTCCCAGTTGTCAGACCACCCCCAGGCTGCCTCTCCCTGGGGCTCCCCTCTGGCCTAGAGGCTCTGCTTGTCTTCTCACCCCCAGGAGGAGAGCAAAGTGATGGGGCTGCCCCTGCTGCTGCCCCTGCCCCTGCTGCTGCTGCTGCCAGCATCTCTGCAGGCTGGTGAGTGGCCAGGACCACCTGGCTCTGCCCAGGGTTAGGGGGACAGAGAAGCCCCCCACCCCTGGCCTGTGGCCAGGCATCTGGAGAAGGGGTCTACTGGGGTAGCCAACTAGGCCTCCCACCCACAACAAGCAATGGGGTGGTGTGGTCCCACAGTGCTGGGTCCCCCACACCCCTCACTCTCCTTTCTACCCCAGGCCTGGAAAGGGGGACACACAGCCAGAGAGCCAGACATACCACCTGTCACACTTCTGCCCATGGGTGAAGGCGCCAGGCAGTCTGGGGTTGTCTTTTGGTCTCTCCAAGTGGCTTCAAAGTCTCTCCCTCTTTCTCCTTCCTCCAGGTGGCTCAGCAAAATGCAAATCAGGCAGTGATTATGAAGTCAACCAACCAAAGCACCTCTCAGCCCCTGTGGGTGGTTCCATCCACATCCCCTTCTCCTTCTGTTACTCCTGGAAGTTAGCCAAGGATCCCAGGGTGAGAATATCCTGGAGAAGGGAACACTTCCATGGGGAGTTCATCTACAACTCAACCCCGCCTTTCACCCATAAGGATTACAAGGGCCGCCTCTCCCTGCTCTGGACAGAGGGCCAGAGGAGTGGCTCCCTCCAGATCTCGAACTTGCGGAAGGAGGACGAGTTTCAATACTTCTGCCGAGTTCGTGTGAACACACTGACAGGACGATCTAAGGGGGTACAGTCCCTAGAGGGGACCAAACTCACCATCACCACAGGTGAGTCCTGCTGCCCCAGCCTCTGGTGGCCTCCTGCCCCAGGACTGGTCCAGGCGCCTCTCTTCCTGACCCTTCTCTCAAATCCTCTCCCTGCTCTTGATGCCTTCCCAGGCCTCTGCCAGCTTTACCATTCTCACCATAATCTCCCCAGACTTGGGCAGCCTTCCTTGCCCACCCCCCTCACTGTCCCCTTCAGATCCAGCCCCCAGCCCCGTCCCCAGTCTTCAGCCCCTTCCTGGCTCCCTGGTTGTCCTCCCTTCTTGCTCCAAGATGGGGCTCCAGCCCTGCCCCCTGCCCTGGCCCCAAGTCCTCCAAGTGAACTTGACTTTTCCAGGATGTGGCCTGCCTTCCCTTTGTCATGTGCCTGTGTGGGGGGCCCCAGCAAGCCCCCTATCTGTGTCTCCCCACAGCCATGAGCTCAGCCTGGCACGCACAGGAGATACCCAATGAGGGTCTGAAGACACCCCTGACCTGGCCTCTGTTAATACCCCACCATCTGTTTTTCCAACCTCCCTGCTTCCTTTCCCTATTCTGCTCCCCAGTAGATAGCCCTGAATGCTGCCGCCTCAGTGCCATCTCTTTCCTCTCTTTCCCCATCTTTCTCTTCCTGTCTCCATCCTCTTTAACCTCCTTGCCTCTCTCAGGGCTCCACCGCCACCTCCTGGACATGCAAGTCCCTGTGCTGCCCCCTTCTCCACCCCGATCCTGCTCCTCTTACCAGGTTATTAGAGTCACCTCTGCAGCAATAAGGGCAGCTCCCGTTTACTGCGCACTGTGTATACCTGAAGCCTTGGTATGAGTTGCCCTAGTTAACCTGTACCATGACCCCACAATAACATCAGGTACTACTACCATCTTCATATTAAAGATGGGGAAACTGAGGCATACAAGCTAAACACCAGCCCAGAGTCCTGCTTGTGATGCAGGCAGAATGTGAACCCAATTTAACCTCAGAGCCTCCTCTCAACTACTAGCCTCTCACCTTACCTACTGACTTGATCATTTTATTGTCCTGATCCATTTTTAACCTGCTGTGGGGTGTGTTGCTTAATAGTTCTTCCTATATTGCTCATTGGGGTGTGGGATCTTAAACCTGGGTTTATCCTTCTCCAGGGCAGTGAGGGGAGAGGCTCTCTCCCAGGCACAGGCAATGAGGGGATGGATTGTGAGATGGTTCCGTTTTTGTAATCTCTTGCGCTGGCAACTCTAAACCATGTCCATGATGAGTCACTCCTGCCATCAGGGAAGGACTCTTTGTGCCCCACCCCGCCCACCCTGGTAAACTGCTGCCCCCTCTTGGCCACCAGGTTAGTATTAGAGCAAACAGAAACTGGCTCATAAACTGAATTATTCAAGGCAGCCTTGGATTTATATTTCCTGCTCCCTCTCCATATTTCTTTAAATGTCCTGTTTTGAGAGATTTGCGTGCTTTTTAGATCCCTCCTATTTGTTTCCTAATTCCCCAATATCCTCTTTATTTTTCCCAAATGTTCTTTATTTTTACTACTAATGTGCAACATTATTTTTTAATGTTTTATAACAGCCACTAAAAAAGTTGTGCATGAACTCTGACCAAGATAGTGGGTTATATGCACGTGTTTACCTCCACTGCCAAAATCAACTAAAATGACAGCAAAGTAAATTTTGTAAAACAAAAATCCACAAGGACAAAAAATATGTGAACTAGGTGGACAAAAACAAAATTTGGGGAGCCGGAAACAAACAGACTAATGTAACTGGTTTCGGCGACCAGAGGAACCACACCCTAAACCAGCACTGGGGCGACCCAGAGGCAAGGCAACTTGCACTGCAAACCCCTTACAGGTTCAGGAATGGCAAATGCCCCTAAGTACCCCTGAAAGGGGGCCTGAAAACTAGAGGATTAGTTGAAAATCTATTTAAGAGCAGGGAAACCTCCATACTCCAACTCTCCACCCCAGCAGAAGACTGTAGATTTGCTTTCCAGGAAAAAAATGAACCAGAAGGACTCTGAGGGAAGTACCTTGGGCATAAGTAGGGGCAAGGGTTCAGTCCTTAAAACTGGAGATTTGGTGAATTGATGAGACCATAAACACCTGAACACCCTTAGATGCCCCCTAGGACTCAGGCAACCAGGCTGGTATACTCCCAATCCCACCAAGAAGAAAAGATCAGGAGAGTCTTCTCTGAGAAATCTATCCAATGGGTCCAAAAAAGATGCAGAAACCTAACATAACTCTACAGCCCACTAACTGACAAGCACCTTCTCCCATGCCACACACACAGCTTCTGATGAGCATGGCTTCCTGCCTGCGGGGAGCCAAGGGGGCAAGGAGATTGGGGTCTCAGCCTCGCACCAAATCCCTCAGCACTGAGGACTGTACCCTCGCCTCAACTAAAGACACCATTAAGCCAAACATTTAAGGACGTCTTCACATATGAAATGCAGAGAACAAAAGAAACAGTGGGGGCAGGGTACAAAAAAGCTGAAAGAAACCAAAACAAAGCGGGGGGGGGGGTGGATTTTTTTAGATATCTATCATTCTCTGAAAGAGAATGCAGGCATGTAACAGGAAAGCGTGCTTTACAAAGGAGCCTTCCAAACAATAAGCAACCTCTTGGAAATTAGAGATATAATACCAAAGGTAGGAAACTCAGTAAAAGGATTGAAAGATGAAGTTCGTGAAAATTTCCCAGAAGGTAGAACAAAAGGTCAAAGATTTGGAAACTACAGTGGGTTGAATAGCAGCCCCAGAAAGACATGCTCATACACCAATCCCCAGAACCTATGAATATAACCCTGCAACAGATATGATGCAATGAAGGGCTCTGCGGTAAGGAGGTCATCTGGGATTACCTGGGCCTGTTCTGAATGCAAACACAAGTCCTGCATGAGAGAGGCACAGACAGGAGAGAAAGCAATGTGACCACACAGGCAGAGAATGGAAGGATGCAGCAACCAGAAACTGGAGGAAACAAGGAACAGATTCTCCCCCAGAGCCTCCCCAGGGAGCTCGGCCCTGCTGATGCCTTGATTTCTGACTTACAGCCTCCAGAACTCTGAGAGAATAAGCTTCTGTTGTTGGAAGTTACCCAGTTTATGGTAATTTCTTACAGCTGCCATAGGCATATATAACATAGAAACTATAAAGAAAGATAAGAAAGATTGAGGATTGGTCCAAGAGGTCCAACCTCTGAATAATGCTAGTTCCTGAAACAGAGAAGAGAGTAGGCCATGAGGAAGAAAAATAACAAAGAAATCACCTAGAAATTTTCCAGAACGAATGAGCCCTGCAAAATGAGTCAAAATAAAAAGACCTACCTCAGGGGCCCTGGCTGGGTGGCTCCCTTGGCTAGACCATCAGTCATCCCATACACCAAAAGGTTGTGGGTTTGGTTCCTGGTCAGAACACATACCTAGGTTGTCTCTCTCTCTCTTTCTCTCTCTTCTCCTCTCCCCCTCTAAAATCAATTAAACATTTGGAGCTATCAAATCTCTCAATAATGAATATTTTATAATACGAATTCAATAAACATATCCCCAAGTGATGATTAAAAAAAAAGACCTGCCTCACAAAAATGTGATATGAATTTTCAAAATGTCGGAGGTAAAAAGAAGATTCAACAAATTTCCAAGAAGAAAAGAAACAGGACACATACAGAGATTCAGGAATCACATGGCTCTGAATGTCTCAATGGCAATACAAAATTTAGACAATGACCGAATGTCTTAAAATTCCAAGGAAAATTTTTTTTCATTCACTCATTTAACAAATATTGATTAAGTGCCTACTACATGTCAGGTGCTAACCTGGGGACGGGTAATCAGCAGTTAAAACAAAACAAAACAGCTCTGGCTGGTGTAGCTCAGTGGATTGAGCTTGGACCTGCGAACCAAAGGGTTGCCGGTTTGATTTCCAGTCAGGGCACATGCCTGGGTTGCAGGCCAGGTCCCCAGTTGGGGGTGCGTGAGAAGGAACCACACACTGATGTTTCTCTTCCTTCCTTTCTCTAAAAGTAAATAAATGAAATCCTTTTTTAAAAAAGTGCCCACACTGAAAGACAGCAGAGAGCAGAGCAAATGCCATTGTTCCCTCTTGGACCCCTTCCCTGTACACAGTCACAACCCAGCAACGTGGGTTACCCCTCCTGGGTGAACACGTAAGGCTCCGCACCTCACACATAACAGGCATGATAAGACAAAAAAAAGAATGGCTGAAACGAAAGAACAGATCAAAGCACCAGAAAAAATACAACTAAGTGATGAAGAGATAGCCAACCTATCAGATGCATAGTTCAAAACATTGGTAATCAGGATGCTCACAGAATTGGTTGAATTTGGTCACAAATTAGATGAATAAATGAAGGCTACACTAAGTGAAATAAAGGAAAATGTACAGGGAACCAATAGTGATGGGAAGGAGACTGGGACTCAGATCAATGGTGTGAACCAGAAGGAAGAAAGAAACATCCAACCAGAAAACAATGAAGAAACAGGAATTCGAAAAAATGAAGAGAGGTGTAGGAACCTCCAGGACATCTTTAAACGTTCCAACATCCTAATTACAGGGGTATCAGAAGGAGAAGAGGAAGAACAACAAGTGGAAAATTTATTTGAACAAATAATAAAGGAGAACTTCCCCAATCTGGCTAAGGAAATAGACTTCTAGGAAGTCCAGGAAGCTCAGAGAGTCCCAAAGAAGTTGGATCCAAGGAGGAACACACCAAGGCACATCATAATTATATTACCCAAGATTAAAATGGAGGAGAGAATCCTAGAAGCAGCAAGAGATAAGGAGACAGTAACCTACAAAGGAGTGCCCATCAGACTGTCAGCTGATTTCTCAAAAGAGACCTTACAGGCAAGAAGGGGCTGGAAAGAAATATTCCAAGTCATGAAAGGCAAGGACCTACATCCAAGATTGCTCTATCCAGTAAACCTATCATTTAGAATGGAAGGGCAGATGAAGTGCTTCTCAGATAAGGTCAAGTTAAAGGAGTTCATCATCACCAGAACCTTATTATATGAAATGTTAAAGGGATTTATCTAAGAAAAAGAAGATAAAAAAATATGAACAGTAAAATGACAGCAAACTCACAATTATTAACAACACCTAAAACAAAAATAAAAACAAACTAAGCAAACAACTAGAACAGGAACAGAATCACAGAAATGGAGATCATATGGAGGGTTATCACAGGGGAGTGCGAGGGGAAGAGAGGGGGAAAAGGTACAGAGAATAAGTAGCATAGATGGTAGGTAGAAAATAGACAGGGGAAGGGGAAGGATAGTATGGGAAATGTAGAAGCCAAAGAACTTACATGCATGACCCATGGACATGAACTAAAGGGGGGAATGTGGGTGGGAGGGGGTGTGCAGGGTGGAGGGGAGTGAAGGGGGGAAAATGGGACAACTGTAATAGCATAATCAATAAAATATATTAAAATAAATAAATAAAAAGTGCCCACAAAGATAAAATTTACACTTGAGTGTGAAACAAAGACCCCTCACCCCACCAAAAAAAAAAAGGCAAAGACATTCATTGTGTGTGTCAGGTCGTAGTGAAAAAAGAAAAGGTGGAAAATGAAGCACAATCAGTGGGATAGAGGCTGCTGCTAGATGTGCTGCTTTACTCAGATTTAACAGAGAAGGTCTCTGGAAAACTAGTCAAGAGTCTCAGCAGGAAGCAGCCACTCAAATAAGATAAAGAAGAGAATTTTGAGTGGGTGCAGGTAGGAAAACCAGTAATGGATGATGAGACACCTGGGACCAGCCACAAGCCTGTGGCCTCTGGGGAGGTAGAATCAACATGCCCATGAGGATTGGTTTATGTGTCAACCTGACTGGGCCAAGGGATGCCCAGAGAGCTGATAAAACCTTATTCCTGTAGATTAGGGTTTTTTTTGTAAGCAATTAGCAGTGGGCATCTTCCATTGCTTTGTGGGCCCAAATTGAATGAAAAAGTGGAGGGAGGACAAATCTGCTCTCTTCTTGAGCTAAGGCATTTATCTTCTGCCCTTGGATGATAAAATTCCTTCTGTATCTCTATCCTATTGGTCCTATTTCTCTGGAAAATACTAATACAATACTGTCAAGGAGAGGGCAAAGAGCTATGCCCTGACCTACCCTCCCCCTCCCCCATTTTCTGCTGGCAACTGCCAGTGGCCACTGAATGGGAACCAGGGGCAAGAGATCCCATGGGTGGAGTCCCTCAAGATTAGCCTCCAAAAGCACCAAGCAGGTGCAGAAGAGCTACAAATGGATCTAGAGAAGCCAGAGGAAAAATCCAGCCTAGGGCAGATCTGTAGGAAATATGGAAAGGTCTTAAGGAAAATGTTCCAGTCAAGAGGCAACATAAGACAAAAGTGGTGAGACAGGACAAGTGTGGCTGAAGCAGATGAAGAAGCTGAGGGTGACAACAGGTGGGGTCAAAATAGGCAGATGTGCACACACACACGTATAGATATAGATATCACGCGGTAGAATTAAACTGCATGCTATTCTGCTCTATAACTTTCCATTTTTACTTAATGCACTTCAAGTAACTTTCCATTTCATTACATACACACCTGGGCCTGTTTTTTCAATGCTGTGTGGTGTCCCATTGTAGCAATGTGTCATAATTTACTTAACTGAGAATTTAAAAAATTTTTAATTATTTAGAGAAAAATTTACTGACATGACAGATAAAATAAAATGATAGCAATGCATATTAAAAACAAAACTAAAGCAATACTCAAAGTTAAATTTATAGTATTAAACACTTATATTATTTCAAATATGAAAAAATTTTAAAAGTGAATGAAATAGCTAATTTCCAAGGAAGAAGTACCAAAAAGAGAAAAGAGCCAGCCCTAAGGAAAATCATAGTTTGAAAGTAATGAAAACCTACGAAGCAACAAATTTATTAGAAAACAGGACAGTAGTAAGAATAACAAATGCAGGAAGTAGTTATTTAGGAAAAAAACAATAAAACAGACAAGACTGTGGCAAACCTAACAACTTAAAATCCTGTTGAAATCATGAGTGAGTGTGTGCTTAATTACAGGTTAATATGTCTAAAAAGCTCTGTGAAATGGATGACTTTCTGAAACAATTTTAAAGGATGAATTTAAGAAATAGTAAACTTTAATGGTAGACAAGAAGAAATTGAGAACACTATTTAAATACTATTTTTCATAAAGATTTCAAGCTCAGAAGGTTTAATGGATAAATTCTTGTAAAAATTTAAGGAACAGATAATTCCTAAACAGAATGTTCCAGAAGATAGAGAAATATGGAAAACTATGTAGTTCTAATTCACTTCATAAAATGGTATCATAACCCTGATGCTAATATCCATTCACAATGTTTTAAAATGCAGACTAAAACGAGAGGCTGGGTTTTCATTTGTCTGTTTGCTTTACTGATCCTCGAGGTGGCACAATGGGAATGAAGGGTGACACAACCTTTGGGAAAGCATTCGGGAACATCTGTCAAAGTGTGAAATACCCATGCGTGCTCTTAGACCCAGTGAGTTCAGTGCTAGGAATTTGTCCTACGGAAATGCTGGTGCAAATGTTGAAAGGCCTGTGTTTAAGGTTGTCCTTTTCAGCATTATCGTGATGTGGCAATGACCTAAATGTCTTTCAGCAGGAAATGGAAAGTTACCTTAAGTATTTATACTTTTATTAATAATTTCTAATAAGAGTGGATAGTGAATTTGGTCTACATTAAACTGAAGATTGTATTTTAATTGGATTTTTTTACTTGGTAGAGTATTTGGTCGTTTTCAAAGGTCCATTAAAATAAGGTACAATGTGTTTGTAAAACTTAAATATTAATTTAACCTTAAAAGCACATTTCAATATACACTAGGTTCTTTACAGATTTTTTTTTTCATTTATTAAAACAATTGTGTAAAAGGGCAAATCCTGGATGACTCCGCTTAGATGAGGTACCAAAAGTAGTCAAATTCCTAAGGACAGAAAGGAGAGCGGTGGTGGCCAGGGGCTGGGGGAGGGGGCAGGAAATGGGGAGTTGTTGGTTAATGGGGACAGAGAGTCAGTTTGGAGAGGAGAAAAGGTTTTGGAGGATTATGGTAGTGAGAGTTGCACAGCAATGTGAATGTTCTTTTTTTAAAAAAAAAATATTTATTTTTACAGAGAGAAGAAGGGAGAAATAGAGAAACATTGATGTGTGAGACACAGTGATCAGTTGCCTCTCACACTCCTCTCCAACAGGGGACTTTGGCTCGCAGCCCAGGCGTGTGTCCTGACTGGGAATCGAACTGGCGACCTTTTGGTTAGCAGGCCAGTGCTCAGTCCACTGAGCCACACCAGCCAGGGCTGAATATTCTTAATGTCGCTTAACTATAACTTACACATGTTAAAATGGTAAATTTTATGTTATGTGGCTTTTGCCACAATAATTTTTTTTAATCCTGTGATCTAGTTATCTCTATTTGTAAGTGATGCAGTGAGGTTCTGAGGTCACAGCACTGATCGGTGGTAGAGTCAGGATGTAAACTGAGTGATGTATATTCTAAGCCTTCAGCTTTTCACCTTGTTAATCCCCTCCCGGTGTGAGAGCTTCAGAGGGTTGCTCCCCACGCCCATTATTCCCCAAACTAGGGAACAGGATGTGACAGGTTCATGCAGATACCTCCAATCCTCCAACAGAAAATTTGCTTATTTCTCATGTCTTCTCAGCCACCGAGAAACCCACAGAGGGGCCCACCAGCACCATCACCACCACCACCACCACCACAGATGGCGTCAATATCTCCGGGTCTCAGCCCCTGACTCCAGGAGCTATAGTTGGGGTGGCAGTGGCCATTGCTGTGCTCAAAATCGCAATTTTGGGACTGATAGTCTACCTCAGGTGGGAGAAGCAGTCCAGGTAAGCGATCCTTTCCCCCAGGCTTCCCCACCGCATGTTTTTCAGGACCACCTGCACCAGGATGACTGCAGATCCCTGCTGGGGTGAGGTCTGGACAGGGAATCTGCATTGTTAATAGTCTCCTCAAGTGGTGATTGGAAGTGACCAAGTTTGAAAACCACAGCTCTAAACCAATCCCTCTCCATAAGTCTGACTGTTCTCCAGTTCTTCTCTCTTTACTTAATCACTTATCAGTCCTCACCTTTTGTTCATGGAGAAGAAAGGGTCTGCCCTGAAAAATTAAGGAGAGAGCAAAAGGAGCAGGAAGTTGGCTCAGCTCAGCAAGCATTGGTGGGGTACCCATTTTCCAGGGCCTGACTTGTAATTAGAGATACAAAAGTAAATACAGCAGAGATCCTGTTCCTCAAGAACTCAGTAGGGGAGGGAAGGGATTTGGGGCAGTTGCCTGAAAGGCTTTTTGTCTCCTTTGGAAAGAACTATGGTAGTTGGGAACAAGGAAGGGATAATCAAGGAGGACTTCTCAGAGGAAGTGACACCTGCAAAAAGTCTCAAAGAATGAAAAAGAAGTAGCCAGGTAAGTGGCAAGGGTGGTATAGAGGTTATTGTTCTTCCAGGAGAAGGAAACCATTCTGGGAACTGTGAGTAGCTCATGCTATGGAGGAGGCAGGAAATGAGAGAAGAGGACCTTGTAAGTTATACCCAAAAGCCTTGAATCCCAGAGGCAACATGAAGCAGTGAGGTGGCAACCTCACTTTGTCTTGCAGATACATAAAGCCTGCAGTGGAGGGACCAGACACGGGCCCGGCGGGAGTCAGTCTAATGCAGTGGCACCTCGAGTGCAGGCAGAGAGCCAGATTCCTGAAAAGGTTAAAAGGGAACCAGTAAGACTTGGTGATTGGATTGATGTAGGGGTGAGGGAGCCAGAATGTCCAATTTTACAACAAAGATGTGATAAAACCGAGGGAATTAGGGAGCATAGGAGGTCAAAGACAATATTTGGGGATGAAAAATTATTCTTCCAGTTTGGGATATGTTATATTTGAGACACTTGTGTGGCATCTGAGTAGAGATGTCCATCATTTACAGCTCAAAGAGAGGACCAGCCTGGAGGCATTAATTATTTGTACCCCAACACCCTCCAAAACTGATTTGAAATTACTTTAAAGAAAATTTGCAATGAGAGATTTGAGAGAGATGTTAAAGCACAAAGGTAAAGAGCATTGAGTCTGACTGCCTTCAGTCAACCCTGGCTGGGTCAATTCTGGCACAATGGTAACATTACTCTGTGCCTCAGTTTACTCATCAGTAAAATGGGGATAATCATAGTAATTAACCCAGGGGTTGTCATGACAATTAAACAGAATGCATTTAGAATAGACACTGGCACAGAGTAAGCACTAGGTAAGCATTAGCACCTACAATTATTAAGCCATGATAATTAAAGTGATGCAGTACTAGCATATAATAGATAAACAGAAAACAGATAAAGTGATGGACAAAAATTAAAGCTCAAATATAGGCCATATGAAAACAGACCCAAGTATGCAGGAATTCAGTAGGTTGAAAGGTAGACTGTCTAATCAAGCGGAAAGATGAGTAATTCAATACATAGTGCTGGATCAGTGGTGCATGGCCACCTGAGGAAAAAAAATAGCATTATTCCCTACCTCACAATGTGCACCAAAGTAAATTTCAAGAAGATCAAAGATTTGAAGAAGAAAAAAATGACGTTAGTACCAGAAGAAAGCATGCACTGGAGATGACTTCAGAAGTAACACATAAAACTCGAGAAAACCATGAATAAAAGTATTGATAAGTTCAACTACATACAAACTGAGTTTAAATTCTGCAGTGCAAAAAATACCATGGTTTTCTCCTGAGAGTGAGGATGAGGGTCAAAGATGAAGAGAAAATGTGACACAGTCACTGAGGACCTGAGAAGCCATAAATCAGTAGAAGCATCACAGCACATAATTGTGTTTTTCCCCAGCAGTATTCAACTGTGCAGTTGAGTAATCCTTAGGACCTGTCAATTAAAAGTTCTGTTCAGCAGCTAGCATCAGAGACCAAAAACAACCATAGCGTAAATAACACAGTAGTTATTCCCTCATGAGGAAAATAATCAGGAGGCAGACAACAGAGGCCGCTGTCCTTAGGAACGCAGGCTCCTATCTTCCCGCTAACAGTTCCTGGATACTGACTTCTGTCCTGAAGGCTACCTCATAGTCCAAGGTGGCTGGCTGATGATATTCCGGCCGTTATTTCTGAATCCAAGTAAGAAACAGAAGGAAGGAGGAAAGGATAAAAGACTATGTCCGAGTTGTCTGTCCTTTTGAAGAGCCTCCCTGGAAGTCCTACTCACATGTCCCCTTATATCTCATTGGTTAGAGTTTAGTCATATGTCCCACACCTATCTGTAGGGGAGCACACGGCCACTCCAAATAAAATCAAGGTTCTGTAACTGAGAAAGAAGAGGTGAATGGATACTGGATAAGCAAATAGCATGCCATGCCAGAGACGCATGCAGGATCGGAGGTTTGCCGGCTCAGTGTTGCAGGACAAGGGAACTCAGGAGGTCAAGGAGCTGGTGAAAGGGTCCAGAAGGAGAGTGGAGGACTCGCAGACATTCTAGGTAACCTGAAAGAAAGTGCATTGTCAGGGGACAAGAGCTCAGGGAGGTCAAAGCACGGGTGTAGGGGGAAGGTGACAAAAGAGAGCTGGGAGGAAAGAAAGTTGCAGCATAAAAATGACACTAGCATGTAGTTTTAGAGTTCTCATTCGCAGTGATTAAAAAAATAAAGGTCAGGGTATGGCTGAGTGAGGTGGAGGTCATTGGAATTGCGGGGGAATGAGTGAGTCCGGCATGTTAGAGGACTGTCCCTGTGGGTGATGACACCTCCCAGGAGGGTGGTTGGTAGTGGACAGGATGTGTGTGAACCAGGGACCATATGCCTGGGGAATGCTGTAGAGACTTGAGGAGGATCTGGAGGGGGGATAGGGTGTTTGTGGGGCAGGGGTGGAGGGGTCAGCTAGGTAATAGAGTCCTCAGTGGAAAAGAGGAACAGGCTGCAGTGCAAACACAGATTCCAGACATGAGGTTCACAAGGTGGGAGAGAGAAGGAGCCACCACTCAGAAGGAATGACAAGAAGCTGGTTTGTCAGGGCAGGAGGGAGCGATGGTGCCTGTGACAAGAGCGGGTAGTGAGGGGTGGGTGGCCAGGGCTCAGCAGTGGAGGGAGCAGGTTGGGGGATTGCAGGGAGGTCAAGGAAAGGGGCAGGAAACAGACAGAAAGTTAGGGAGACGGGGCAGGGTGAAGGGGACACTGGGTGCAGAGAGCTTTCCTGATCTGGTGTTGAGGACAATAGCAAGACAGGTGTGGGTGGCTTTAGGGTGCCAGCTGGGTGCTTGCTCTGAGTCCCAGGCCCTTTTCACATGGGTTTCAGCAGAGCTGCTCTGCTGCCCTGGTTTATCCAAGGGTGGTGTCAAAGTAGGACAGAGCAGAGAAGACAGGAGGAGAGATGCTGTTCATGTATGATGCACTGACATGCTATTGATTCCTCTACAGCTCTGCAGACTAAAGCAAGAGGCCCAGACACATAAGTGCTTGTCCTCTAAGTGGGGGGCACTGCTCTGGGAAACAAGAGGTGTAGTTATGAGAACAGTGAGAGAGACCCTTTCACAGCTGCTCTCATCCTTGACTTTCCTAGTAACATCCTCATACATCCCTAACAGGCTGGGCTCTTTATTTCTGGAGGCTTTGGCTCCTAAAAACAAGCAAACAAAAAATAAAAATCAAGAACAGTGGACCTAGGTGTTCCAGCAGTTTCTCTGCTTCTTTCCCAGAGTGTCTCCCAGTTCTCTTTCTGTAGTATCCCCTTTTCTCCTCCTTTCGTGGCCAATTCTCAGCTTTTCCTTCTGTTCATCCTGTTTTCTTTCCACCTTGAACATTACCCTTTCCAAACGCATTTCCCTGTTCCACACTTTTCCCTCTTTCTTGCTCATTGTCCAATCTGCCTTTCCCTGCTGAGGTGCCAGGAGGGGCCACGGGATTCGTGGCCTCCATCACCTCTAACATCTGCCTTTTCTCAGAGCACCTTCCCCACCGAGCTCCCAGCCTGGCCTCCTCTCTGTGCCCTTCCCGTCCTCTTCTCCCTCCCACCAGTTTCCTTTGCTCCATCCTTCTTCCCATTTCCACATTCACCCTTCTCCCTCTCTCCTTTCTCTGCCTCCCTGACTTTTTGCCAGCTGCCTTCCTCGGCTCCCCTCCCAGGATGGCGTCTCCTCCTGGGGACCAAAGCCTGAGCACCCAGCCAGAGGCCATGACATGAGCCTCCTGGTTTTCCTTCTCCAGTCTTAACCAAGGCAGGGCCAGCACAGGGGACAGGAACTCACCCTTCCAATTTCTCCTCCCGTGCCCCCTTCCTACAAAAGTGGCTTCCCTAGAACAATCCTCTTCCTGTTGGCACTCAGGGACCTCTCCTGGGCTGCACCACAAATCGCCTTTCAACGCTCTTCCAGGCATTGGAAGAGCCTCCAATCTGAGAGCCTCAAACCATTGCCTACACCCTCCAAGTATGTCCAAGCAGCTCGCAGAACCTCCCACAAGAACACCAGCCAGGTGCAGGCCTTAGCTCTTGTCTGCTCAGCCTCTGACACATTTCCCACCCTCTCCTTCCCATGCAGGGGATCCTTCCATAACACTGGGGAGAAGTATGAGAACATTGGGAATACAGGTCAGTTCTACCACCGTCACTGCCCACTCTCCACCTTGGCCCTTCCTTCTTCCCCACACTTTCTCCCCACACCCATGCCCCTCCTCTTTTCCCTGCCTCTCCCATCCCTCCTGTGTGACCTTGGTCCTAAACTGGCAGATGATCTTACTGCTGAGCGCTCCACCTACTTCTCTACCCTGGCTGCTATGCCATCTGACCCTGGCACATCTTGATTTTTTTCCTAGGACAACATGAAGACCCCAAGCTGGACCCAAAGGTAAGCAGCTCAGACTAGAGCCTGAAAGAATTAGAGGGAAGCTTGGAGAAGGTGGGGTGGACATATAGGGGGACTGTGGTACCGGCAGGGCTCTTAGGTGTGGGATCACTATTCTCAGATGGGGTCAGCTCCCCTCCACTTCAGCCCCTTCTCTTTCTGTTCTCACCCAGGTTGATGGTGTCCTCCATGCCTCCCTCGTCCTCACCAGCTCGACCTCACCATCAGCACCTCCCTGCCACCCTGTCCACAACAGCCCCCAGGAAGAGACCCTATACTCTATGCTAAAGGCCTAAGGAGTGGGACTGAATGATGACCTCCTTACAGAAAGCTGCTCACAGGGATCACCACTTCCCATAATAGTCCCAGCCAGTCACAGATGACTCAGAAGTCAACAGACATCAAAGGCCACCAAGGGCCTGAGAGAAACAGCCATCTGCTCCAGTTCCCTCAACTTTCTTCCTTGCCCACACACAAAAAAAGTACCAGGCCACAAATATTGTTTGAAATGAGTGCATCTAAGGAGGAGACTGATGCCACCTTCAACTTCTGTCCTTGCCAAAAATGAACTATAATAGCGCATACCCAAGGTCCTCCTCTAGTACTTTTATTCAGTGACTGTAAGTCCCCAAACACTGGTAGGCAGCCTGGAATTCAAGTTCCACCCCTCAGTCTAATCATTCTACTACTTCCCTTACAGTAATAACTGGCATCATTTAAGCCTTTACATACATCACCTCATTTAAACATAAACAACCCTATTTTAGTGGAGTGGTAAAAGTGGGAGCAGGCTGAGCAAGAGAGTGAATGGAAACTTATGAAAAAGGAATCAGCAAGGATATAAAAGGACAGCGGTGCCTATGGGTGCAGATGCTGACCAGTTTTCAGGTAAGGTGTCTTGAAGCAGAGGTAGCTGGAACAATGGTCTTTGTTTTCTCTGTGGATAAGCGCTGCCCCCTTCTGGGAGTGAGGAGGGAATGGTGTAGTGTTATTAGCTGCTGCTTGGGGGAATGGCAGAAAGCATAAAAGGATTATCAATCATTGGAGATGGTAAACTATTAGTATCACCAATTCATACACACACTCATCATTGTAGACTGCAACCAAAAAGAAAAACAAATGGCCACAAATTCTTCACAGCTTCTTCTATCAAGAGGTGGAGGCTGTTTCTTTATCCCTGAATCTGGACTGGCCTTATGACTTGCTTTGACCAATAGAAGGTGATATAAGTGATTGGCCTTATGACTTGCTTTGACCAATAGAAGGTGATACAAGTGATACTGTGTGATTTCTGGACCTAGACCTCAAGTGCAAGTGGGCTTGCAGCTAGCATGAGAAATCCCCCTGCCACCATGTGAACAAGCCTGAGCTAGATATTGGAGACTGAGAAACCACGTGGAGAGAGGCCCGGCCATCCTACCAATTCCAGCTGAGGCACCGTGTTGGGTGATGAGGCCGTCCTGGACCATTCACCGCCAGCCAAAGCATTCAGATTCACAGAATTGTAAGACATAATATATGTGTAGTTTTGGGGGTGGTTTGTTGTACAATCAAAGCTAATTCACTCATTCTTTAGATAATTTTTAAAGCATATTGATAACTATCTGGTTGTTTCCAGTCATTGTGCCTTTGTCTCAGTTTTCATTTACTCCTTGGTCCTTTTATTTTTTTTCCAATGAAAAAAAAATTTTAAAGATTTTATTTATTTTTAGAGAGAAGAGAAGGGAGGTAGAAAGAGAAGGAAACACCAGTGTATGGTTGCCTCTTGCACACCCCCCAGTGGGGACTTGACCTGCAACCCAGGCACTGCCCTGACTGAGAATCGAACCAGCAACCCTTAGGTTTGCAGGGCTGGCACTCAATCAACTGAGCTACACCAGCCAGGGCCATAGAAAAAAAAATTAATAGCTAAAAACATATGTTTACAGGGTGATCAATAAAAGACTTTTAAGCATAAAATTGTATCACATTAAGATACAATTTTATGGGAAGTGAAATGGAAAAAATGAATTAAAGGCAAAAATTTAGTACATTTTCTGGCTATTAAAGAAGAGCTTTTGTTTGTTTGTTTCTGAAAGTATATTCTTTTCCCATTACCATTTAGTCCCCCAATACCTGCCCCCTACAATCCCCACACTGGTGTCCATGTCCATGAGTCCTTTTTCCTTTTTCTCAGTCCCTGTACCTCCTAACCTCCCCCACCCTTAGCTGTCATCCTACTCTCTTATGAATCTGACTTTATTTTGCTTGTTAGTTCAGTTTGTTCATTAGATTCCACATATGAAATCCTTGATCCTTTTCGAATGTAAACTCAGGAAAAAAATTCCCTCCAAACAAGCTTGAATGTTTCCTATTACTACAAAAGGAAAACCACAAAACACACTATGTGTATGTGTGTGTTACTGGGAAGTTTACAGCCAAAATGTATTAGTGTTCAGTTCAGAAAGTATGCTGATAAAATTCTCAACTTCCTAATAAAATTATCTTTGCCTTCTACCTGGCAAAGACTACCTTTTAATCTTTATTTTAATTATGCTATATTACTATATATACATCTATTGTAGCCACTTAGAATCATTTCTGAAAATAGACATGTTAAAATTATGAATAGTCTCCTACCTAAACTCAACCTTCTAGCCCCTCACCATGTCACATGTCTCTCTAGGAATGTGACCCATGAAGCTCTCCTTCAGGGCCTTTCCCAGATTTAGAGCCAGATGGCAGCCAAGATAAGAAGCAGCTTGGGTGAGGGCATCTGGGATGTTTTGGAGTGGAGGCTAGCTGACCAAGAGGTTATGTCCAAAACTGGGATTAGTTTCTCTCTAGAGTAGTAAAGGGATGGGCAATGGAGTTTAGAAGCCTTCATTCACATGCTTGCTCTGACATTTATCAACTCACTGCACTTAATTCCCCCATCTACTTTAAGAGGATGGTTATAGTACATGTACATGGCACAGAGTAAACAGTGAAAAAAATGTTAGCTTGTCTGCACTGGTGTGGCTCAGTGGGTTGAATATTGTCCCACAAACCAAAACGTCACTGGTTTGATTCTCAGGCAAGACACATGCCTGGATTATGGTCCAGGTCCCCAGTTCAGGGCATGCGAGAAGCAACCAATTGATGTTTCTCTCACACATCAATGTTTCTCTCCTCTTTCTCTTTCCCTTCCCCATTTCTCTAAAAATAAATAAAGTCTTCAAAAAAAAAGTTAGCTTTTTACTAGTTACCCTGTAATATTTTTCTCCTTCCCCATAAACCTGGCCACTTAACCTCCACACCACCCTGGGGTCCCAGCCCCCAAACCCTCTGGCTTCTACCACTGAGATACGGGGCACTATCTGTCCTGCTCTGGCTGTTCCTTCACACTGTTGATATATCCTGGGCTGCCTGGCTGGCCACGTTGTCCACATGATGAGGGACTCCATGCTATGGCAGTAATGGGACTATCTGTGTGACACTGCCTGTGAGTGGCCATGACAGGATGGCAGGACAGCTGGAGCCTCATGAAGAAAAAGGTGAACAGGGAGGGCTTTGAAAGATACCCCTTCATTTGCATAAGTGGACAGGATGCTGGAACTCCTCAGATGATGGGCAGGAACAGACAGTTAAAACCTCGACAAGGAGTCAGAACTGGGCAACAGGTAACAGACACTCAGGTAAATCAGAATAATAGAATGTATTAATTTCGTGGCATTTATAGACAAAACCTCTGAGCTCTGGAGCATTCAGAGAAGTACCTTGCACAGTTTCTGCTCTCAAGGAGAACCATGGGGAGAGGGCATTTCCAGAAAAAAATGACCAACACCAGGCATTACCTAATGTTAAGTGGATAATATAGAGACTGCACTACAAGAGTTTAAACTAGGGTTGGAAAAATCAGGGAGGGTTTTCTGTAGATCAGCTGAGCTGGCTTGGATGGTGGAGAAAAGAGGGGAGACAGCTGGGAGACAGCTGGGAGACAACAGGAAGAAAGGCCTGCAGGAGAAAAGGAGGCTGTGGACTTGTCTGGAAGGAAGCAGACAGTCCGGCCAAACCAGAGCAGACTTTGACTTGAAAAGGACCAGGAGAGACAGTTTGGGTTATTCTGCAGGTAATGTGGAGTCACTGAATATTTTATAAGTAGAGGAATCTACTCATACAGTTGAAGTTTTCCAGAGTTTTCACCAAAAAAGAACCTTGAAAGAAACATCTAAGAGCACACCCTAGGCCCAGCCTCCTAATATCTTGAGCACTGCTTTGCTTCTATTATCAGCCCTCTTTCCACACCATCCTCACTGTCTCTAAGGGATCATTTCTGCCAGTGCTTATATCCTTTCAGGAGTCGTCTTGCTGCAACTGAAAACACAGTCCAAGCAGCTTAGGCAGGAAAGGAGTTGATCAGCCAGTCCAGGTGACTGATGAGTTAGGCAGTGGGTCTGACTTTCAGGCTCAAACTTGTTGTCAGGCCCCACCGGTGTGCCTCATTTCGTTAGGTGTTGTCCTGCAAAGTGAAAGGTTGCAGGTTTGACTCCCTTTGACTCCTGTGCCTGTGGGTCTGGTCTGGCTTTGGTCCCAAAGACAATGTTTCCTCCCACCTTCCCTTCCCCTCTCTCTAAAAATAAATAAAATCTTTAAAAAAAAACAACAAAAAACCAACTTTTCATCAGGTCTTTTTTTCTTAACTGCTCATTTTACCCCTTTTGTTTAGTTTCATTCTCAGTCTCCATTTGGTGGCCCCAGCAGCAGCTGGTGGTCCTGACAAGGTGGAAAGATGATCCATTCTCCCATGTCAGTCTTACAGGACAAAACTAGACTCTTTTCCACTAGCTCTAGCAAAAACCCTAAGATTACCAAGACTGGACTAGTTTAGGTGACTTGCCCGTCCTGGAGACAGTGTGGCCAAAGAGATGTGTTGCCCTGAAATGACCAGGCCTAAGTCATGAGCAGAATGCCTATGTTCTGGAAAGTCAGTCAGGACTGGAATTACATTTGTTCAAGGTAGGAGTTCATAGCTCTAAACAACCCTACTTCTCCTCTCCTGTCCTCCATACTGGAGGACAGTGGATCTATCTACATGCCACATACCAGACAGGGCCCCTGATGGCTATGGAGACCCTCTGGGGACATTGTACTGCTCTGGCAGGCCCACAGCTGGCCCCTGTATACTCTTCACACACCAATGGCCTCTACACTCCGAGGTCTGGGACCTGGCTAGGGGCCTCCACACCATGATCTTGCTGGTGCCCACTTTACTACCTTCCCTGCATCCATCTTCATCTGATGACTGGCAGGGATCTCAACAGCTGTGGTTGTATTCTTGTGTTCATCACGTTAGTCAACACTGCTGTGAGTCTGTGAATGGCAGAGACTGGGTCTCTCTCCAGGTGAACCGGCTCCTCCGAGTTGCCTTTGCTGACCTCTGTGTGGCCTTTATAGACACCTGGGAGATGACCTCAAGCCTACCCCTGCCCAATAGCATCCTTTTTATTTGCTGTCCCAGTACCTGGAATACCCCTCTCCCAGATCCTTATACAGCCACCTTTCTCCTCATTCAATTCACTGATTAAACATTATCTCCCTGACCATTCTCCCACCCCACAGCCCTAACCCCTTTTCAGCCTACTTTTTTCTTATATCACTAACCACAACCTGTAATTATTTGGTTTACTACTATTTCTGTTGTCGTTTACTCCTTTTTCAATAGAATGTAATATCCACGAGGGACAGGGAGTTTAACTTGTTCACAGTTGTAGCCCAGTAACCTAGAGCAATGCTTGACACACTGCAGGAGTTAAAGTATGTATTGAATGAATTAATGAATGAATAAAGTCAGGTGACTACGGTGTTACTTCTACTCCCTGCACCTTTTCTCAACAACCTGCATCCCATGAGAAATAGGCAACTGGCCAAAAAGTGTCTCTCTCTGCTTTTGCTGATTACATCTACATGACTGTCATTATTCATGCTTCATATTTACATTAGGGCAGTACGACTTTCAATGTAGTTTCCTATTTTTATTTGGGACAACTCTTCCAAGAACACTCTCCCATTTTATTAATGAAGCCCCCAGAGGTGGCACGCATTTTGATCCAGTCCTTGGTACTAGTTCGCAAAAAGTGATATTGGTGAGAGCACCCTATCCTCGCTGGAAAACCAGCCTCCCGGCTCTGGCTGACTAGGGTCCTCCATATCCTAGACGTGAGTTCTTTGGCTGGGGAGTTGGAGGGCCCAGTCTCTCCCAGAGCTTATCCCTGCATTGTGGGATCCTCATTTCCGACCATGGGACCCTGCCAGCTGTTCCCTGGACCCTTTGTTTCTGGGTTCCAGGCTTCCCTGACCACCCTGAAGGGGGCTCCGTGACCAGGCACGACCACGTCGGCAGTGCCTAGGATTCTCTTCCGGCTCCGCTCCTGAGCCACTGGGTCTTCACTCAGGGCCTGCCACGAGTCCCCATCCCCATCGCGTTCAAACACATCGCCCACCACCGCTACGGTGCCCAGAGTCGTGCCCGCCACCACCACGCTCACGTCCCGCTGGCCCCCATGGCCTGGCGTGGCCCACACCTCGAGTCCTGGCCCCAGCCTTAGAGGCTGTTCCTCACTTAGCCCGTGGGGGAGGTAGCGGCCCCCGGGAAGGCAGAAGTCGTGCGAGACCAACAGAGCTGCTCCTGGAAACAGCCCCAGGTTCCCGATATGATCCGAGTGTCCGTGGGTCCCCACCACCAAAGTCACGTCTGCGGGGGCCACGCCCTGCCCTGCCAGGGCCCCGAGGAGCGCCTCCCGAGACCAGGGGCCTCCAGTGTCGACGAGGATGGGGCCACGAGCTGCCTCCTCCAGCGTGGTCTTCGCCTTGCCGCCCTCGGGTGGGGGCTGTCGGTGGCTGACCTGGCCCCGGGCCCGGGGCAGGACAAGGGTCACAGAGCCATCGGCGCGCACAGTGTCACCAACCCCTTCGGGTTCTGCGTAGCCCTGCAGTAGAACCACAACGGAGTAGGGGTCGCCAGGCACCCGCAGAGGTGGCTCCCCATGCAGCGGCTCTGTTCTCACTAGACCGCTCATGACCGGAGAGGAACGAGCTGGGGAAAGAAAGTGGGGCTGTGTAACACTAGCCAGGCCCTTGGGGTTTCCCACACGTCTGACCGCCCCCAAGTGGCATCTCCGAGACTCGGTTCTTTCCCACCCCCTCGCACTCTTAAGGTGCTATCGCCCTCAAACCCCTTCCGAAGATGGTATCTCCCAACCTTTTCTTCCACCTGACACTGCGCGCCCTTCAATGTCTTCAGCCCCTGCCTTGCTCCTCTTGCATGGTAGGTCCACTCATCACCCTCCAAAGGAGGTCTTTTAGTTCCTTCACTGCAGCCGAAGCTACTACCTCCAACCCAATTTTACACCTCTTAGATCTTGCCTCATTCTGGGGAAAGAATGGAAATCAGCAAAGCGCGGGATTTTGGCCTTTCCGAGCTGCCGTAAGCCCCAGTACGGTGGCCGAGAGGACACCACAGTGAATTTTATTCCTAGCGCATTTTCTGGCACACGCGGACAGGGGCAACACAGATCCAAGACTAGGAACTGTGCTCAGCCCGAGTATCCCTGCCAGCTTCTTTGGGCTACATTACAAAGCACCATTAGCTCCTAACAGGACAGAGGCCAACAGCCTTATTCTCCGGAAGGGGCGCTGCCACATCAGCTGGCTAGGAAGAGTGCACCGCAGTTGTTTGAAACTTCAGACTCAGCTTTTTCTTTTTTTAAGTTTACTAGCGCTATAGAAAATGTGGCACCTGTGACTATGTAGTAGGTTCTCGGTGAAATTAATATGAAGTAAACCAAGTACCCCACCTAACATCAGCTTTACCCCATCCCCATCCTTGGTCAGTTTGTTGGCATGTAGCCTCCTGGACGCTGGTGGTGTATGTATATAAGTCGTAGATGATGCCCTTTTGGCTTCCTTGCTGTAAGGGTCTAAAAAAGGCAAAGTGCCCTTCCCAAGGCCCACAACTCCTATGTCATTGTTGATCTCTGGGTAGGTTGGGAGTAGTAGAAGTATTTAAAGGGAAAAGCCTTCAACACTGTCTCCACACACACCTACAATTAAGGGGCTAGAAGGCAGGCAGAGGGCTCATCTGTTGGGGTAACGTGATCACCTACTGTTCACACCTCTCTCCCCATAGCCAAACCATGCAGTACCATCAGGATCCTAGCTGAGACCAGATGAGAGAGAACAATTACAAGCTCTGGGGTGGGTCACACACACACACACACACACACCCTTAAAGCTGTAGAGCAGGGAGAGCTCAGACTTCAGAGTGTTCTTTATGACCCCTGTTTTTTGTGGATACTCAAAAGCAAGGGTCAAAGATCCTCTGGGTCATGCTTGGGGTGGCCTGGTATGTTAGTCATCTCTTCTTCCTTTTCCTTCTCTTCCTCCTCTTGATCTTGCTCCTTCTCCCCTCCTGTCTTTTCTTGCCCATCTGTGATCTTCTCATTTCCAGTCCAAGTTTCCTGTAGACATGCTAGGTTGGGTGATAGAAAACAATTTAGACACTGGTCCTGGGGGTAGAGGATTTTGTAGCCTGGCAGGAAAGGAGCCAGCCCCGACACTTACCAGTTTCAGCAGCTGGGAGCACATGACCTTCACAGAGAAAACGCTGTAGGGGCTGCTCCTGATGGTGGAAGTACCAGTCTCCCACGACGTCTTCAAACTCCTCCAGCATTGTTTCACACTGGGCAAGTGGAAGGGTCAGAAGGGTATCTGCTCTGCTGGGCTTTGGAAACCCTCCTCTTTGCTCTTTACTCCCTGTCTCCCGAGCCCACCTTGGAGAAGCAGGTAGCCAGGAAGTTAAACTTGGCCTACTAGATGTGCGATCCTCATTCATTCAATAAACATTTGTTAGCACCTACTCTATGGAGTAGGTTATTAAACTCTGAGTCTCAGCTTCTGGTCTATCAGATGGGAAATGGGAATCAGGTTGTTGTGAGTGTAAAATGAGGCAGCAGCTGAAATGTGTGTGGCCCTGAATTTGTACATAGTAGGTACTCAATAAGTGGTAGTGCATATTATTAGCCTCCATTATTACTTCTTGATATGCTCCTGGGTGCACCTCAGTCAATGAGTCCTCATTCTGCCCCCTTCTCCCTGCTCAGAGCTATACTTCTCTATGATCTAGCCCCCTTTTGAGTTCTCTTCTCACCACCCTGGGCTGTATCTTATCCTACCTGCTTCTTGAGGAAAGTGACCTCCACACTGGGCTCGTCCCACAGTTCCAGAGGGATCCCCAGATCCACCTTCACCCCCTTCTGCACCAGGCCTTTCAGTGTTGCCATGGTCTCACTCTGCCCCTGAGAGATGAGAATTTGGAATCAGCCCGGTCCACACCCCCACTTCCTCCTTCCCATATCTGCCACATCAATTTTGTAAACTACTGGAGACTGAGAGGTGAGTTTCATGAAGGTGAGATGAGGGAATCTAAAGATGAGAAGGGGACACTCTAGAGCTGGGGAAGATAGGCCCCAGAGGATACAGGTCTGAGAAGTGGAATCCTGCCCTGGGGAAGAGTCTGACCTTGGCATATCTCAGTGAGCCCTTGCGTTCAGCATGAACACTATAATCCAGGATCTGCTCACATACATTCTCCAGGGCCTCTTCTAGCCTTGTCTCTCTGTGGGAAGAGGGGAAACAAAGATTCCCTGAATACTGTACAAGCTCCCAGAGCTTTTTGGGGGCTGGAAGGTGGAGGAGCACCAAGAAGGACTCACGAAATGCTGTAAGGGACATTTCTCTTCCTCTTGCCTGTGTCCAGCACCTGCCCCAGTTCCAGCACCTCTCCAGATCGGCTAGTACGTCTCAGCACTTCCTGTAGCTCCAGGCTCAGCAGCTTACACACTAGATATCCAAGGGGATGTGAGAGATAAACATGCCAGCAACTCATTCAGCAAATGAACAAAGGCAGCAGAGCGTGGTGGTTACAAGTGCAGACTCTGGAGCCAGCCTGGCAGGTTTGCAGTCCTGACTCAGCCACTTAGTAGCTATGTAACAATCCTGCTGTGCCTTGATTTCTTCACCTATAAAATGGAGATAATAATAGTATCACCTCATAGGGGTGTGGTGAGGATTAAACTAAGTCTATGCAAAACCCTTAGTTAGTATAGTGCCTGTACATAGTAAGCACTACATAAGTCTTTACTGTTGTTTTGCAATTATTTGTTGAGCTCTTTCTGGATGAACAACAGCAATACAGAAAGCATTAAGACCCAACATCCCTATCCATGGGCCATTGCCAATGTAGGTGGGGACAGATAAAAAGATGGCAATATGGTGTGACAGATCCTATACTAGGGGGTTTAAGACAAAAAGACAATCTCATTAGGAAATGCAAAATTCACTCAATGGTTACATATTGACTTCCTGCTAGCCTGAGATTTTCTTAAGGATGAGCACTGCATCTGTTTCACCACTGTCTTTCCAGCACCTAGCATGTGACATGGCACATTATGGGTCCCAAGAAAGGGACTGGCCTATACTGAAGTGCCAAGTGAATTAAACACAGGAGCAAGTAACAAAAATGCTTAAAATGTACCAGGCACTATGCAAAGACCTGGGAGACCCAGGTATTCTCTTTCCCTGCAAAGGCTTACAAGACAGTGGGAGGTGACAGATAAGAAAGACTTCCAAAGGAGGTAACAGTTAAACTGGATCTTGAAGAACCACATGCAGAAGGGAAAGGGTTATTCCAGGCAAAGGAAAAATAACCTGCAAAGGCACAGAGATGTAAGAGGATACGACAGGTTCACTGACCACTGAGAAAGTTCAGTGTGATTCAAGCATGAGCACTTTGGGAATGGGAGTTGGGTTAGGGAAATGTAAAGGGTGCATAAAACAAAGATACATTTGCTCTGCCCTAAAAACATGTTGGCTGTATTCTGATTACTGCAGGAGACCTGCACAGATGTTAAAATAAGGACTGACAAGATTGGGTCTTGTTTAGAAAAATTGACAGAGGTGTAGGGAGAACCGTGAGGACGCAAGTGAAAGGAGAGGAGAAATTAGGACCAAGTCTTGAGGAATAGTGATACTGAAATTCAGGTTAAGAGAAAAAGAATCCCGGGAAGAAATTAAAGTCAGGAAAGCAACAAACTAGGGAACCAGAGCACTCAATGGCCACCTTTTAAGTGCCTTCTCCCAGCTGGGCTCCGCACATAATAATGCAGCCACAGAAGATGCCTCTTGCTGTAAAATCCATACCGTACACACCCTTTGAAAAGCCTGCGTGGCCTACTCTTTCATTTATGAGCTTCAAAAGCTGATTTACTCATCCCTGAACCCCCTCAGAAGGGCGCAGGACCTATAATTTGGGAGTGTCTGTGCCGAGGTGGGGCAAAAGAAGTCCACAAGGTATGAGCCTCACACACCGCTCCTGCAGGATCTCCAGATTTAGGTCTAGTGACATGGGGAAAACACACACACACACACACACACACACACACACACACACACACACACTGAAGATGCTCAGTAGAGTGGGTGGCCCAGCGCATATCCCCTGAACTACAATTCCCACAAACCACAGGAGCCCAAGCCAGTCAGAAAAGGCGGGCTCTCTCAGTATGTCTCGTGGGAATTGTAGTGCCATAGTTTGGGGTAATGCTATAGGGTCCCTCCCTTCATCCCATTCGGTTTCCCTCAGGTCTTCAAGGAGAGCGAGTAACCAACCCATCAAGGTCAATTTGGTCCGGCCCAGACAAAGGAGGTGGAGCAGAGGGATGCTAATAGGGACTACTCCCTTCAGATACCTTCGCATTTGCTGGGCAAGCGTTCTGTGTCATCGTCTTCCTTCGGCGTCCCAGGCGAAGCTGGGACGTACACAGTCAAAAAGGAAAGCAACATTCCCAACCGCACAGGTCCCATGACAAGGTGCAGTCCACAACCAACACCCCTCGCCTTCAAACCAACTTGGGGAAGGGAGCGGGCCCTTTTAATTCCGAGGGAGTAGGCGGCAACTTTAACCCAGCAAGGGAGGCGCACGCGCAGTGCCGGCCCCAAAAGGCGTGGGGCTACCGAGAGCTCAGGCCTTTCCCCGCCTCGGTTTTGTGGCGCCTCCCGAAGGTCCTGGCCGCCGGGTAGAGAAGGAATAAGCAGAAGTAATTGCAGCAAAAGTGCTTGCTCCTTACACATACATTGAAACAGTGTTTTTATATCGTTTGAGGCCGTGAATCTAGAGGACTTATTCCGGCTCCGAGAAGGGGTAGTGATCACTCCCAGTCTCTGCCAGGACCTGCTCCTGGAAGGGGCGGGGCCAACATGGCGCCGAGCGCCGGGTGAGCGGCGCTTTGGCGGCGGTGAGAGTTTCTTCCTGCGCCCGGCGCTTCCCTGGCAGGGGAGGGTCGAGTGGTACACGGACTAGACCCCTTGACGGGCCTGTGTGGGGACCCGGAGGAGGACGGTTGGTTGTATGTCCGTACGCGTGGGAACTCTGTGTTTGCATTGGAGGGATGTTGGGGGATGAAGTGGGCTCTGCTCTTTTCGCGCTGGTCCCATTACCTAGGGACCTTCGACCCATTAACCTGTCGGGGGAACTACACACGTATAGCTCAAGTTAACCTTCTCCTGCGAAGTCTTTCTGCCGACTCCACTGATCTGAGGGGCTGTTTTCTGGCAGAGGGTACCGCAGGGTGTTGAAGGATTAGTAGGAGTTCTGCAGGACACTGGGACACGATTGCTTGTATACCCGGCTTCAGGCACAGAGTATGTGTTGAATAAATGTGTTCCCTGCAACTGAGATTTACAAAAGAGAGGGAGAACTGGGATAGTTTGAGAAGAACCAACTTCTCTTTCTCCATCTTCTCACCCCTCCAGCACGACCCCACCCGCCCCCACCTACACCCCACAGTCAACCCTAAACACTTTTGACATTAGTTTTCCTAATGCCAGCTTCAAGCGTGCTACTTTCCTATTGTCCGCCAAGCAGATTCCAAGCTTGGGTTCTTGTTCCTTTTGATACTTGTAGTATGGAATATGTATTGAGCACCTACATCTCTAAACCTCAGTTCATTCATTTATTCAACAGATATGTATTGAGTATCTACAGTGTCTCAGGCAACAGTCAGCAGTCTTTGAATACATCAGTGAACATAACTGACAAAGATCTCTGTCAACACGGTGCAGGACGGGGAGATGTGGTGATAAACGATAAGAAATGGTTATATATGTTAGATGTTAAAAGCCATGGATGGGGAAGAGTGGGGGTGGAGTGTGGTATTAAATAGGATGGTGGGAATAGGCAGCTAGGTTGACACCTGGGGAAGAGCATTCCAAGCAGAAGGAACAGCAAAGGCCATAAAGCAAGAGCATGCCTGTAAGGTTTGAACAGCAAGGAGGACAATGGGGCTGGATCAAGTTGGAAGAATGAAGCAAAGGAGATCAGAGATGTAATGCAGAGGACCTTGTAGACCATAATAAGAATTTTACTCAGTTGTGAATGGGGAGCCATTATGGGGTTTGAGCAGAGAAATTACCCAATTTGATTTATAACTGGACAGAATCACTCTGGTTGCTCTGTTGGAAGTAGATGTAAAGAGCAAAGTTGAAAGCAGGAAGAGCTTATCAGGGGGCTATTGAAGTTATCTGGGTGACAGATGATGGGGACCTGCAGTGAGAATGAAGGAATCAGGTTGCATCACCTAGTGGATTTGATGTGAGGGTTCACATAAAGAATGAGCTCCTGGATGGAGGATGTCTCTATGAAGACAAGGAAGACAGAGGCTGGAGCAGGTGAGGGGGTAAGAGATCAGGGGTTCAGTTTTAGTGGAGATTAAACAGTTTGATATACAAGCCTGAAGCGAAGAAGAGCACTCTGGGTTGGGGATATAAATTTGGCTGTCATCAGCCTATAAGCAATATTGAAAACAGAGGTCACCAAGTGAATACGTGTAGTTAGAGAAGAAAACTAAGACTGAGCCCAGGATTTTCCAACATTAAGCAGGTGAAAAGAAGAGGAAGAACCAGTATTGGAAACAGAGGTAACAGCCATTGAGGTAGGTGGAAAGCCAGGTTTTCCTGGTTGGTGCCACAGTGGAGTGAAAGTTTTCAGAAGGTAGTAGTCAGCTATGCTATGTGCTGCTTTGAGGTTAAAGAAGACAACAGAGAATGGGCTTTGGATTTGGCGATGTGACCTTGAGAGGTTTCAGGGACCTAGTGGGGTTAAAAGCCTGATTGGAGTAGGTTCCAGAGAGATGAAAAGAATTAGAAACAAGTTTAGGAAAACTTTTTCAGGGAGTTTTATTGCAAGGAGGAGCCAAAATATGGGGTATGTCATGTAGAGGAAATGAAAAGATTTTTTAAAATGTATAATTTGATGAAATACATATAACATAAAACTCGCTATCTTAAACCATTTTTAAATGTAGTTTAGTGGCATTAAATACATTCACATTGTGTAACCATCACCACCAACCAGCTCCAGAATTCATGGTTTTTGTTTTGTTTTTTTAATTTATTTTTAGAGTGAGTGAGAGGAACATCAATGTGTGGTTGCCTGTTGCGCACCCCTCCACCAGGGACTGATCTGCAACCCAGGCATGTGCCCTGACTGGGAATCAAATCAGCAACCATTAGGTTTGCAGGCTGGCTCTCAATCCACTGAGCCACATCAGCCAGGGCCAGAATTCTTCGTATTACAAAGCTGAAATTCTATACCTATTAAACAATAGCTCCCCATCACCCTTCCTCCAGCCCCTGGCAACCACCATTCTACTTTCTGACTTGAGTTTGACTACTTTATAAGACCCTCACACAAGTGGATTCATATATTTGTTCTTTTGTGACTGGTTTATTTCACTCAGTATAATGTCCTTAGGGTTCATCTGTGTTGTGGCATGTGTCAGAATTTCCTTCCTTTTTAAGGCTGAATAATATTTCATTGTGTATATATATATTACTTTTTTTAAGATAGGAGAAATAACAGCATTTTGTAAGCTGATGGAAAATGATCTAGTAGGTTGAGAAACTAATGACGCAGGGAGATGGGAGAAATGCTGGAGCAATACTGGAGGTGGCAATATATATATGAACATTTTTTCTATAGTAACCGGTGCTGCTTGGTGGGTAGATGTGGTGGGAGTCTGTAGGTCCCTTCTGATGGCTGAACGTGAGGAAGGAGAAAATGTGGCACAAAGGACAGAGGGAGATTGAGTGCATTGAGGTATAATGTGCTTGTCTGGCAGCATTGAGGGCCCATTTGAAGTTTATGGCCATGTATTTAAAGTGGGAATCAGTCATGAAGGTTGTGGGTTTTTCTCATCACATTGAACTATACAGGTATATAGGCTCAGGGTGGGAGAGTTGTAGTTAACCAATATTGTATTTGTGTCAGTCATGAATGATGATGCAAAAAGGGGCAAGAAAGATGAAGGTATGAGGGAAAGATCTTAGGAAAAAAGTGTTTTCCACATTTCACAGAGAAGAAACCGAAACCAGAGAAAATTTAAGTAATCCGCCCAAGTAAACAACCAGGTAGTGCTAGGTCTGGGATTTAAATTAAGGGCTGAGATCGTTCCACCATACCTCACTTGTACAGTGCCTGGCATAGAATCACAGCTCAGTAAGTTATGTTGAATTGGATGGGATTGCTACCTCCTTGTGTACCCAGCACCGACTCATGTGGGGATGGACAGAAGACACCCAGGAGTTCCTTCCCTCCTCATATCCTTATTGTCCTCCATTTGTTGTGGTCTCTACTGACCAGGTAGCCCCTTTTCTTTGGGTCTAACATTTCATTTTATTTCTTCTGCCCACCCCAACCCTCTGCCAGGATTTGCATCTCTCCACCCTGGGGCACCATCCTTTGGGGGAGGGCGGAGGGGCTCTAGAATGGCTGAGGAAAAGAAGCTGAAGCTCAGCAATACTGTGCTGCCCTCGGAGTCAATGAAAGTGGTGGCTGAGTCAATGGGCATTGCCCAGATTCAGGAGGAAACCTGCCAGCTGCTGACAGATGAGGTCAGCTACCGCATCAAGGAGATTGCACAGGTAACCTGGCCCCTCTGCCCAGCCCAGTATTGTACTGAGGATGATGCCCAGGCCCCCTTCTTCCTCAGGATCTCAGGCTGACATTTGTTCTCCCACCTACAGGATGCCTTAAAGTTCATGCACATGGGGAAGCGGCAGAAGCTCACCACAAGTGACATTGACTACGCGCTGAAGCTAAAGAATGTTGAGGTGATTGGAACACACATGACTGAGATGGGAGGGTGGGTGAGAGCAGTCGTCTCAGATACTGCATTTGCCTTCAGTCATGCCTCTGTGGGCTCCCTTCTTATCTTGGTGTCTCTCTCTCTCTCTCCTGATATAGCCACTCTATGGCTTCCATGCTCAAGAGTTCATTCCTTTCCGGTTCGCCTCTGGTGGCGGCCGGGAGCTTTACTTCTATGAAGAGAAGGAGGTTGACCTGAGTGATATCATCAATACCCCTCTGCCCCGGGTGCCCCTGGATGTCTGCCTCAAAGGTTGGGGGAAAGGAGAGCAGGGTGGCGGGGGAGGAGGGAAAGGAGGAGCAATGCTTATAGGCTTGAGGAAGTTCACAAGGATGAAACCCTCAGTGTAAGATTCCTGGTGAGTTGCAGGAGTGGGAACAGAAATGGAAGCATATTCTGTAGTGTGGAGTGGCTCCCTAATGTCCATGTCCAGCAGTTCAACTTGACACCTTCCTTTCTCACAGCTCATTGGTTGAGCATTGAAGGCTGCCAGCCAGCTATCCCAGAGAATCCGCCCCCAGGTAACCCCCTGTTCAGACCCCACCCCTCTCTATCTCACTCTCCCTTCTTCCTCTACATCTACCACTCTCGTCACTCCTGTTGTGACTACTTTCCCACCAGCTCCCAAAGAGCAGCAGAAGGCTGAGGCCACAGAACCCCTGAAGTCAGCAAAACCAGGCCAGGAGGAAGATGGACCCTTGAAAGGCAAAGGTCAAGGGGCCACACCAGCTGATGGCAAAGGTCAGTACTGCTGGGCCAGTACTCTTCTGGCTCTTGCCCCAAAGCCAGATGGTCATGTCTGAAGTAGGTGAGGTCAGGCTGAGAGCTCAGGTCAGACCACCCCAGAAGGGATCAGCCAACCTAAGGGAAACTGGGTCTCCCTGGGTAGGGAAGTGGAGGAGGGTCAAGATTTGTCTGGTACCAAGGCCTCTTCTGGAGCTTTCTTTTTCAAACCCATCTTGCTATTCCACACAGGGAAAGAGAAGAAGGCACCACCCCTGCTGGAGGGGGGCCCTTTGCGACTAAAACCCCGAAGTATCCACGAATTATCTGTGGAGCAGCAGCTGTACTACAAGGAGATCACTGAAGCCTGTGTGGGGTCATGTGAAGCCAAGAGAGCAGTGGGTCCCACCATCCTGCCATAACCCCAAGACTCCTTCTCTTGGGGATTCCACAAATTCTCCCATGGTATCTGCCCCCACCTCACTCATTCCCCTCCTCCCACAGGAAGCCCTTCAGAGCATCGCAACAGACCCAGGGCTCTATCAGATGCTGCCACGATTCAGCACCTTCATCTCAGAGGGGGTGAGAGGATTCAGGAAGGCCAGGCCCTAGGATGAGGTTCCAGGGGGTGAGGAGGTGGCAGGGGGTGCTCATCTAAAGGGTTTCCCTGCCCTATCACTTCTTCCTGCAGGTCCGTGTGAACGTGGTGCAGAACAACCTGGCCCTGCTTATCTATTTGATGCGCATGGTGAAGGCACTGATGGATAACCCTACACTGTATCTAGAAAAATATGTGAGTGGCCTTGCCCACCCACCTCTCATCCCAGGGTTTGGACACCTCACTGCTACCAACAGGAAGCTATTTATCAGTTAGCTGACTCGCCACTTCTCCCTTAGGTGCATGAATTGATTCCAGCTGTGATGACCTGCATTGTGAGCAGACAGCTGTGCCTGCGGCCAGATGTGGACAACCACTGGGCACTCCGAGACTTTGCTGCCCGCCTAGTGGCCCAGATCTGCAAGCATTTTAGCACAACCACTAACAACATCCAGTCCCGGATCACTAAGACCTTCACCAAGGTGAGCCAGGAGAACAAAGAGCACAGGCCCTTTTACATCTCCACTTCAGGGCTGTTGACAGGACAGTGAGAGCTCTACCCACACCGGTGGTGAGTCAGTTGTGGCTGAGGAAAATGACACTAAAAACAAGGGGCAAAAGTGACACTGAGAACAAAGGGCAGGGGGACTACAATTTGAGCCACATGTATCTGTAATGTCTTAATGATCTATAAGGAAAGTGTATTTATGAAAAACTTGGGCCCTTACCAATTACCCTTCCAGCCCTATTATCTGGATTTATTTTCTGTCCCCTTACAGAGCTGGGTGGACGAGAAGACTCCATGGACTACACGTTATGGCTCCATCGCAGGCCTGGCGGAGCTGGGACATGATGTCAGGCCCTGGGAGAAGCACTGGGGGAGGGAGGCATCATGAAGTCATAGTGGGCAACAACCCCCTCCTTGCATCTGCTTGGGAGATCCTGTGGTGACCCCAGGGCCCCAGCTTCTCCCTTCCTTTTAAACAGGTGATTAAGACTCTGATTCTGCCACGGCTGCAGCAGGAGGGGGAGCGGATACGCAGTGTCCTGGATGGCCCTGTGTTGAGCAACATTGACCGAATTGGAGCTGACCACGTGCAGAGCCTCCTCCTGGTGACCAGAGCCCCTGTTCTCTCCCTGCTTCTTCCCACTAATCCTCTCCCCACCCCCCAACACACATAGGTACAATGTTTAGCAAGCATGTGGTATTGTTTATTCACTTATCCTATCTGTGCCTCATACGTTCAGAGCACACCTCAGAGCACAATGCTATTTTGCAGCTGTAAAGACTGAGGCACAAAGGAGTTAAGTAAGAAATAAGAGGTCTTAACTTTCAATCTGTGATTACTAGACTGCACTGCCCCTGATGCTTCTGCATCACTATGGCCCATTCTGTGTAAGGCAAATGCCTACACGCACCAAAACTACCCCTCAGATATTACCAGGGAATTCAGCATATTCTCTGTTCACACCAGTTGGTGTTTGTGTCTTTTTACAAAGAAAAAACACAGCATTCCTTGTACACACTGCTTTCCAAGCAATTTGGCCTCCAATAAGAACATACTGAAATGATGTATAATATCCTTTTTTGTGCCTTCACCACACTTCTGAGAGTCCCAGCCCTCTTTCTACCTGGCTTTGTTTTTGCCTTCTCTCTGCAGAAGCACTGTGCCCCTGTTCTAGCAAAGCTGCGCCCTCCACCTGACAATCAGGATGCCTACAGGGCAGAATTTGGGTCCCTCGGACCCCTCCTCTGTTCCCATGTGGTAAAGGCCCGGGCCCAAGCTGCGCTGCAGGCTCAGCAGGTCAACAGGACCACTCTGACCATCACTCAGGTCAGTGACAGTGCCGGGAGGAGAAGGGCAACCCAATGGAGAGGAGAAATAAGGTAAAATGAACAAAAATGAAGGGTGGGGGGTGGGGACAGAGCCCTGGTTTGTATCAGGGTGGGAATCACAAGCAAAAATTGTGTAAAACCCAGGGCCCTCTGACTCAAAGTCTTGGAGGGAGCTAGGCCCCCAACCCCAGTGAGGCCCACTGAGGGCCAAGAAAAGTCCTTCTTTTTCTTATGTTATTTTCTTGTCTCTTCTTCCTACAGCCCCGGCCCACACTGACCCTCTCGCAGGCCCCTCAGCCTGGCCCTCGGACCCCTGGCTTGCTGAAGGTCCCTGGCTCCATTGCATTGCCTGTCCAGACGCTGGTGTCTGCACGAGCTGCTGCCCCACCTCAGCCTTCCCCTCCTCCAACCAAGTTTATTGTAATGTCATCGTCCTCCAGCGCCTCATCTACCCAACAGGTACTTGGAGCCCTGTGGGGCCAGAGATGGTGGGGAGTATGTCACCATGCCATCCGGAGGTGCCTGGGATTACCTTAGAGCACTCTGTGGGGCCCCAGAGTAGAGGCGAGTCACCTGTGGGCCCAAACACAGGAAGTGCTAGAAGGAGCACTTCCCAGGGGCCCACAAGGCTGTAGCTTTTCCCCCGAGCTAAATCAGAGAATTATTTGGTTGGACCAAGTGAGGTATTCCTCCAGGCCTGGGGAGCAGGGAGGACACAACGCAACAGGCATGGCTTTTCGGTTCTTCTCCCAGGTCCTGTCCCTCAGCACTTCAGCCCCTGGCTCAGGCTCCACTACCACCTCTCCTGTTACTACCACAGTCCCCAGTGTGCAGCCCATTGTCAAGCTGGTCTCCACTGCCACAGCTGCACCCCCCAGCACTGCTCCCTCTGTTCCTGGCAGTGTCCAGAAGTACATAGTGGTCTCTCTTCCCCCAACAGGGGATGGCAAAGGAGGCCCCACCTCCCATCCTTCCCCAGCCCCATCCCAATCATCAGCCCCCTCCCCACTTGGGAGCAGTGCCCTATGTGGGGGAAAACAGGAAGCTGGAGATAGTCCTCCTCCAGCTCCAGGGACTCCAAAAGCTAATGGCTCCCAGCCCCCTGGATCTAGCTCTCCTCAGCCTGTACCTTGACACTGTCACACATCTGCCAACGTTCTCTCCTCCAGATTCCCTCTCTACACACACACACTGGGTGGAAGGAAGTAATCACCTGCTTCCCTCACCTTAACTTTCTTTATAGATATTGTACAGCCAGCTCCTCAGAATAAAAGTTTGATTTATAAATTCTGATTCATCTCAGTCCTTCCTGCGTCCAATACCATAGGAGGGTCTAACCTATTGAGTCCTCATGGTCTCTAGGACTTGGGATTCTTTCAGCCAGACCCATGGCCACAGGCCAGAAAGCTGAAAAAGGCAGTGTCATCCTTCTCCTGAACCACAGGCCACTGCCTTTGCTGCCTGTGTTCTTGTTTGGGGAGCCTCAGATCCGAATGACATAAGCATCACTGTGGCTTAGGTGTCGTACCCACTTGTGGGGGTTGGCGCTGCCGCAAGGTGTGAATGCCAGCCTGAGGAAGCGAACCTGGAGGCCGGAGCACGTGTGCCGGGGAAGTTCAAAAGAGAGGCTTGCAGGGCCGAGCCCCAGAGGTGGTGCTGAGGTGGAGTGCCCTTGACCAGGAGGCCCAGGCAGACCTGGGACTTCCATCTGTGAGGGACAGAGGTAGAGGAAGGAGTGCTGAAGGCACAGAGAGGAAGGTGGGTAGGGAAGACAAAGGGCCAGGAAGGTGACCATACTGGTGGGAACAATGCAACAACTACATTAGGAGGGATGAGTCTGGGGGCTAAAAATGGAGGTGGGAGAAGAGGGCCTTAGAGAATCAGCAGCTGATACCTGGAAAAGGCCTGAGAGCTGAGAGCCTCCTTGCACCCGAGGCAGGTCCCAGCGAAGTGCTCCATCCCCCAGCTCTGCCTTCTGTTCTGGGCTACTCAGCTCCTGAGACAGGCTGGAGTTTGGAAAAGCGCTAGGCTCAGCTGCCTCAGGAGCAGCCCAGTTCCACCCTCACAGTGCCATCCTGTCGTTCAGGGAAGCCGGTAAAACCACCCAACACCCCACAATGCACACACACTAACCTGACCACCCCTCTTGGCAGGGGAAGGTGCAGCCTGATGTTGAGAGCCTGGCTGCAAACACAAAAGGAACAGAGTCAGCCTCAGAAAGGTAGTAACTTGTCTCCATTCTTATCACAGCTGGAATTCAACACAAGTGCCACCCAATCCCATTCCCAAACCCTTAAGCCTCTAATTAAACCTATTCCAAGGCTGGTGGCTGTATCTGAAGGCAGAAGCAACAGGTACCTGGGCCCTGTCCCCTACTACCCATAGTCGAACTAGTCTTGGCTACCCCACTCATACCTCTTTGGCGGCAGGTCACATCGTAACTTCAGGTAAACATGGAGCCTGGGTGAAAAGGTACAATACCGTTACTCTGGCCATACCCCACTGCCATTTCACCATTCCCCACTGAAGGCCCCCATGTATGTGCTGAAGGAAAGAGAGAAGAACTAAAATCTACCCAATTGCACTAGTCATTAGTGTTTATGGGGCTGAGTCCACTTGAGGGGAGGGGGCCTTTTTCTAATTTGTACCCTATACCACTAACTACCATCCTCCACAATAAATCTTGGGAACATATATCTATTGGCTTGGGTTCCAGAGAAATTCTGGAATAAGAAAAATGGTCTGACCTGCCTGTGCTTCGGTCCCACTGCACAGAGGGAAAAAGCCGGAAGGGGAGCGGGGAAGGGAGGTCATCTGAAAGTTGGTACCGCATCACAGTCAGCTGAGATGAGGGAGGAATGGAGGTCAGTTTGGTCCCCTCAAACAAGAACTGCTTCCCTTCCCTTGGGTAGATGGAATAAACTAGGCCAGCCCATTCTGACCTCTCCCTGAGGTGGCTGCAAGCGGAGTATTCGATGAGACTCAAACTCGTCCAGATACACCGAGCTGTGAAATGAGACCTCATCTACCCGAATTCCTGGCCCATAACCTAGAAAGAGAGAAAGACTCTTTTACTAACCCGTATTTGGGAGAGAAGAGCAAGGGTGTTGTGGGGATCTATCTCTAATTTCTCTTCACGAAACTTCTGGTAGTGGCCTGAATGTAGGGCGAGAAAGACCCACTTGCACCTCACCTCTCAGTTCTGACTTTCCCACACAAAATTCTTCTGTCAAACCAATGCGCATCTCTGTCAAAGAAAAGGACATCAGAAAAGGCCAACAAATACCACCATACACACCACCAAGGAGCCTGTCCCAAACCCAACTGTGGGTCCAACCCACAGACTTCTCACCAGAGCCACTGGGAAGAAAGCTCTTGAGTCGGATCTCTCCTTGCACATCCACCTTCAGCAGTGAGCCCTGAGAGTAGCAGGGAAGTTAATGCCCAGAGGTGACCTCCCAACATGTTTCCCAGATACTATCTACCCTCAGCTCCAGGGCTGGGGACCCAAACTTACATTAGATGCTATCAGTACAGACAGTCTCTCAACCACATCCAAAAACACTTCATTCTTTTGGCTCTGAAAAAGAGAGGGGATTTGGGTAGTTGCAGGCTAAATAGCCTGTATTCTAAAGTGGACAAGGCAGTGGAGGCTAGGGCCCTGGGGTGGGAACACAAGGTAAGGGAAGGGATTGGATTATCCAAATCTAGGAGAGATAGAAAGATATGCAGGGATCTTGGATTCTGGAGTCCCCTAAAAAAAAATCAGAGGGTCTAAACCTGTTTAGCCCTCCCTCACCTGGTCAGAACGGCTGGAGAGGACGGGTCGGCTGGCTGCACTGCTGGGGGCCACTTTGCTCTGTTGTGTCTCTGCCCCAAACTGGAAAACAGGGAAAGTAATCAGCACTCAAGGTCTAACAACCCCTGCCAACCCTTCTCCCCTGCTCTCCCCCCCAACCCCTGATCCTCTTTCCCTCCACTGACCAAGCCAACACTGCTGAGATCAAAGAGGCTGAAGGGCTTGCTGACCACAGCTTCAGTCTGGATGAAGTTCCTCAGCATCTCTGTGGATGTAGTCTGTATGTAGCCATAATCCTAGGGATGGGGGAAGGACAGTCTGGGTGGCCAGTAAAGAGGTGAAAAGGAGTGGACTCAGCCTTCCAGTCAGAGAATAGATCTTCAGGGAATAGGTACAATGAGGGAAACAGTTGAGCCTTACCAATACTTCATCCAGGAGTTCATAGACAAGAGCCACGTTGCGGGAGATGGTCCCCTCACCCAGGGAGCCACAGTAATCGCCTAAGAGAGTGGCTAACCTAAGAAAAAAGAACGGGCTGTGTATCTCTTCCTCTTCTCAGACCCCCACACCCAGCTGCCCAACCCTGCCCTCCTCACCGAGAAAGCAGCTCTAGGAGGCTGAAGGGAGAAATGTTTTCCGAAGTTGTCACCACCAAATAGAGACCGCTGTGTCTGATGTGAATAAAATGACGGTCATCGTGGTGCTGAGGCAAACGTAGAGCGGGGAGGGGAAGGGAATGTGTCAGAAAGAGAGTTCTGGTTAAGGTCCCAGGAGACTTGGTCTGATATCCTCATTCCCCTTGCTCCTAGCAGTACAACTTAGAACTAGAAACCTCCCTAGGACGCAGTTGCCCCAAGTTTAAGTGTAATCAATGATAATACCTACCCCAGAGGTGCTGAGAATTGAGATGTGCGAGTTGTGCTGCTATATCGTTAGCGTTCAGTAAACTTTCCTCAGTACTAACTGGAGGAATGTACCCACTCCAAGGGGAAGCTCTCAAGGACGCAGCCCTGAGAAGGCCCCCCCCTTACGAGTACCACTCCTAACCCTTCGTGGTTACCATGACAACCGGTGACTCTTCTCCGGGCAGTCCCGTCAGCTTCCGGTAAAAGAGCTCGGCCACATCCCGGCCCCCACTGTCACCGCGGACTGACGGGTTGAAGGACAGCTAAGGAGCTGGCAACCCAGGCTGGCTCTGGGACACTACTCCCGCCCAGCCCGTCCCCCCTGAACCCGTGGGTCAAGGATACAGTCCTTGTAGATGAGTGGGTCCCCCTTGGAGGACAGAATGAAGAACTGGGAAATCATGGCAGTTCTGCGGAATAGTCTAGGAGACAAAAGTTGGGCCAGCCCCGCCCGGCGGCCCCGGAACAAAAGGACGCGTTTAGGTAGGCCCTTTAAGAGTGCTTCTCCTTGTACGCGGGAAACCCAGCGACTGCCTAGCCTCGCCCAACCCCGTCACTCAGCCCAGGCGCCGTGTGATTGGCCGAGACTGGAACCCGCGGCGAGAGGGAGGGACAGAGAGCCTCCTTTCGGATTGGTCCGCACGTAGCGGCGCCGGTCACGTGTTGGGCGACGTTTCGCGCCAATTTCGGTTGGTCAGCCGCAGTCCACCGCGCGAACGTTCGCAGCTACCGGGGAGTGAGAACGTGGAGCCCGCCAACTGCTGCCGCACGGTTCTCAGCAGCAATGGCACTTAAAGACTACGCACTGGAGAAAGGTGAGGGTCTGCAAGCCTAGGAGGGGAGTCCTACGCGGGAAATCTCCTGGCCAACATCCTGCAGGCCGGGTTTTTCTGCGCGCGAGGTCGGAGCCCGGGTCCGGAGGCAGACGGCTCCTAGGAAGCGCGCAGAGACACGAGGTCGGAGAAGAGCTGGTGATTGTGTCCGAGAAAGGAGTGGGGGTCGTCGCGAGGGGACAGGCTGTTAGCTTAAGTGGAAGAGGTCACGCCTAGCAAGGATTTGCATCTCGGGATTCTGTGTAGGGCATAGGGTCGGGTACTCCCGACCTCGATATCGATATCTTCCGCACTCTCCGACATTCCAAGTGCCCGCGTCCCCCGGAGCTGCCGAAGCCCTGGGGGAGGGCTGGCTCACACTGCTGCGCGCGGGGATTGGCCATTTTAGGCCAACCTATAAGCGGAAGTGGCGGCGGGCGGAAGTTGCGCGACGCTTCTGGTAGAATGTGGTGTGTAAACAGTGTCCTTCCGCGCGATAGTCTCGGAGAGAGGTCCGAAGGGTAGGGGCGTGCCTGGAATTGGGGGTTTTAACGCGAGTCCGAGAGGAAGTATAGAGAGGTAGTGGGAGACACGGAGTGGCCTCTGGACCAGCTGTCCGATCGCGGGACCGGCTCCCGCCCTGGGCGGAGGAATCCCAGGGTGTGAGGCGGCAGCATCTGGGCCCATGTGCTTCTTTGTTTACTAAGAGCGGAAGCAGTGGCGGGAGAGGGGGTGGGTTGGAGGATGGGATTAGTGGGCGAGATTTAGGGGACCGAAAGAGAAGGGGCAGTTTTACTTACGGAAGAAGAGAGGAGGACCTTGAGGCTTGAGTTTGCTGTGGGAGTGGGAGACTTTTGGGAAAGAACATTGAGATTTCTAATGAAGGCAGAGACTGGAATTCCCCTAGAGGGGAGGGTATTGGTTAATACTCTCAACTGCAAGGTGCCCCTAATTCTTCTCTAGATTAAAACAGACTTGTAAAAGGAGTTCTACCGAGTTTGGGGAGTGTTATATAGAGTGATTTAAATTTTCGTGTAACTAATTCACTTAAATGTAAGTGAGTTTCTTTGATTTCTGTGAAAGGAGTTTGCAGTAAGATATCTAGAAGAAAGCGTTGATCCTCATGATTTTACATTTACATTACAGAAAAGGTGAAGAAATTTCTACAAGAGTTTTACCAGGATGATGAGCTTGGCAAGAAGCAGTTCAAGTATGGGAATCAATTGGTAAGTCTAAGGTTAGAGGGAATGGGGTGGCCTGGCTTATTTCAACAAGTACATTTGTCTTTAAGTGACACGTTTAGTGTGGTATCTGAATATAATACTATATGATAATTAAGGTTTTTAGGAGTTGAAAGATTGTTTTTCTGGGGCTAAGGAGCAAGTGTTGTGCTCACACTGGTCTTTCTCCCTCTGGAGGCCTGAAATCGGTGTCCTGAGCTCACAGTGATGGGTCCATGCAGGTAAACAGTACTGAGCACGGTATACCGGACTCTGAGGTCTTGGCTATTCCTCACCCCAGGTTCAACTGGCTCATCGGGAACAAGTGGCAATGTACATAGACCTAGATGATGTGGCCGAGGAGGACCCTGAGTTGGTGGATTCAATTTGTGAGAACACCAAGCGCTATGCAAGGCTCTTTGCTGATTGTGTTCAAGAGCTGCTGCCTCAGTACAAGGAGAGGGAGGTGAGTGCAAGGAAATGCAAGGCAAGGAACTTAGATTTCTGTCAGGAAGCTTCTCAGATATTAATGTTTTCTGAGCTGGCAGGAGGAGGGGGCAGTGATTTCTGCCTGATGTTTTTTATGCCCCAGCCTGCCACGCATTATTTCCATCTTTCTCCTTCTACCTGTAGGTGGTAAATAAAGATGTTCTGGATGTTTACATTGAGCACCGACTGATGATGGAGCAGCGGAGCCGAGACCCTGGGGCAGCCCGAAGCCCCCAGAACCAGTACCCTCCTGAACTCATGCGTAGATTGTGAGTGGTCTCGGTAGGGAAGGGAATGGGAGTTGGTTCTCTCCAGAACCTTGCTAATGACTGTTTTCTCCCTTAGTGAGCTGTACTTTCAAGGCCCAAGCAGTAATAAGCCTCGTGTGATCCGGGAAGTACGGGCCGACTCGGTGGGGAAATTGGTAACTGTGCGTGGAATTGTCACTCGTGTTTCTGAAGTCAAACCCAGAATGGTGGTGGCCACTTACACTTGTGACCAGTGTGGGGCAGAGACCTACCAGCCGGTAAGTATGAAGTAAGGAACAGGAGCAGAGTTAACTTTGTTAGTGGTTTTTGTAAGAATTTTGTCTGTTGATATTTATCTGTAATGTTCATTGTAAAACATTTGGCTTTATTTGTCTTCCATTGTTTTTTTTGGTACATGGTGGTCTTTCCATTTGTGGTTTTTCTTGCCTGTCAGTGGTTTCCCAGAGTAGTTCAGGATGTTTTTGACATGTCCATGAAGATGAAATGTGATCCAAGTGACTGATCTTAGTGGATCATTTTATTATGGTTTCTTTTGATGTTTTCTTACATCCTAGATCCAGTCTCCTACTTTCATGCCTCTGATTATGTGTCCAAGCCAAGAGTGCCAGACCAACCGCTCAGGAGGACGGCTGTATCTGCAGACACGTGGCTCCAAATTCATCAAATTCCAGGAGATGAAGATGCAAGAACATGTGAGTTTGGGGTATGTTGTCTAGGAAAGGTGGGACTTAGGAGTCATTTTGAATACTGTAGCTACTCATGGAATAGAAGAAAGAAAGGACGGAAGAAGGGAGAGCTGAGACAGAAATCTACAACAGGAGGGAGGTTTAACTGAATCTTTGAGCTGGGAAGAGGTGAAGGAGATCTCTGTTTCCGTCCTCTAACTGGCTTGCCTGAAGCTGGGCAGTCCAAGATGTAGAAAAGTGGAGTGCTTAGGTGGGAGCTTAGATCCTGGTAGGGCCTTATGTTCTTTTTCCTTGCCTGTGCACCCTTATCCTCCACAGAGTGACCAAGTGCCTGTGGGAAATATTCCTCGCAGCATCACGGTGTTGGTAGAAGGAGAGAACACTCGGATTGCCCAGCCCGGGGACCACATTAGTGTCACTGGTATCTTCTTGCCAATCTTGCGTTCTGAGTTTCGACAGGTGGTACAGGTGAGAGAGTCTGCAATGAGGAGGAAATAGTCTCTTTTCCTCCTTGCCTACTCACCCACCATACTTGCAGAGGAAACTACTAACAGCAAAACAAAATAGAACAAAAAGTTTTATCAGGAATCCCTGAATGAATTGTGTGGATAGAAAAAGGCCATTCATATCCTGGTCTTTTTCTGTTCAAGGGTTTACTTTCAGAAACTTACCTGGAAGCCCATCGGATTGTGAAGATGAGTAAGAGTGAGGATGATGAGTCTGGGTCTGGAGAGCTGAGCAGGGAGGAGCTGAGGCAAATTGCAGGTGAGAGGTTGGGGGAAAGACCAGCAATGTTTCTTCCTAGTACTTTTTTTTTTTTCCTAATTTTCACTTTTCCTCAGAGGAGGATTTCTATGAAAAGCTGGCAGCCTCCATTGCTCCAGAGATATATGGGCATGAAGATGTAAAGAAGGCACTGTTACTCCTGCTGGTGGGGGGTGTGGACCAGTCTCCCCGGGGCATGAAAATCAGGGGTAAGAGGGAATGAAGGGGAGGCTGGGGGTAAGGGAAGGCATTTGGAAGAATGAATGAATGGAAGACAAGAACTGGTATCCCTGTAGATCACAAAATTTGTAAAAGTTGGCCCCTTGGCTTCATGGACACAGGGAGGGATCAGAAGTAATGATATCCTAGGTATGGGAACAGGGGCAGACTTCTTAGGTATCTTTATCTATTGTTGGGTAACTTGCATTGAAATTAGTTGCAGGGGTTTCCTTTCTTTCCAGGCAACATCAACATATGCCTGATGGGGGATCCTGGTGTGGCTAAGTCTCAGCTCTTGTCTTACATTGATCGTCTGGCACCCCGCAGTAAGTAATCAATCGCTCTGGGAGAGGTAGATGTAGAAGACAGGGATAGGGTCACCATGTTTATTCTCTTTTTAGGGGGTTTGGAAGGTGGAAGGTTGGGAAAGGGAGGTAATTGTTGGCACTGGCACTCCATAGATCTTTACCCAGGAAGGCTTGGATGGGTAAGTAGAGTAGATCAGTGCCAGCTTCACCTCACTGTCTCCATTACTTGTCCTTTGCACTCTTGCTTCTTTTCCTCTTCCTAAACATGTCTGTTTATTTCCTCCCTTCCTGTCCCTGCCATTCAGGTCAGTACACGACAGGTCGAGGCTCTTCTGGAGTGGGGCTCACAGCAGCTGTGCTGAGAGACTCTGTGACTGGAGAACTGACCTTAGAGGGTGGGGCCCTTGTGCTGGCTGACCAAGGTGTGTGCTGCATTGATGAATTTGACAAGATGGCCGAGGCTGACCGCACAGCCATCCATGAGGTCATGGAACAACAGACTATCTCCATTGCCAAGGCAGGCATTCTAACCACACTCAATGCCCGCTGTTCCATCCTGGCTGCCGCCAACCCGGCCTATGGGCGCTATAACCCTCGTCGCAGCCTGGAACAGAACATACAGCTTCCAGCTGCGCTCCTCTCCCGATTTGACCTCCTCTGGCTGATCCAGGACCGCCCTGACCGAGACAATGACCTACGGTGAATAAATCTGAACACTCAAGGAGACATCCCTTAGGAAGACAATCTGGAGGGAGGGAAGAGATTGGAAAGCCC